CTGAAAGTAGTCGTCTCAGGAATACCTGTCTCTGCACTATACAGCTGGTAGTTGCCCCTCCCCATGCCTAGTGAAGGCTGAAGGTTTATTATCTGAGAAGGGTAAACAGATCATCTCTGCACTGGGGACCCCAGACTCCACGGAGGCTCCTGCTTCCCTATGAAAACAAGGAGAATAAATGGGCATTTCCGTGCTCAGTGCTGAGGCCCAAGCCCTAGTCTTCTATCTTGCTCCCCAAATGCTGGCAGCCAGGCAGGAAATGGAAGTGTTTCCTCTGGGAAATCTGGCCAGAATAAGAGGAGGGACTTAAAGACACTGAAATTGAGGGTCTTTCAATGAAAAAGCCCAGCTAGACTACCCTACAGTGAAGCTTACAGTTGGCAAGCCCCACTATTCACTCATAGCTGTTGGTTTGTAGCACCCACTCTTTTCTATGAGCAGACAACCAAGGATTACTGGCCCTGAAGAAATCCTATAAGCTGAAGGATAGACCCACAGAAAGAAGCAAATTGGAAGAAATAGAGACTATGTTGTGGAAAATATTTTTAAAAGTTACGTTTACATCTCCAATATGTGCATCTATCACATGATGTGTATATGTACGAATAAGCATATACACACATAAATTAACATCCTAGTTGTAAAGATGCCAGTGGCGATGCTGCAACCTTGAAACCAGAGAACAGGATAATACACACTCACACATGTTCGCATATAATACAGGAAACATAGGTATGAAAAATGGAGAAAACATGGGTAAAGGCTTTCCTGAACACTGGATACCTGGAGGCAGAAATATTGTTCAGAGACACTTAGCCCCAACCTTCCTTCTTTCCCACAGCTACAGGTGCGGCCTTGTTGGTCCCAAGTTTGTCTCAAGAACTGAGAGAGCCAGATGTGTGTCCACATCCCCGCACAAGTTGGTAGATTCTTCCCACATGGTGATGTAAATCCCCAAGTATAATAGGATGGTGTCATAGCAAGAATGAAGCTTCTCAGATCTGCAAGATCCTAATTTGTGTGGGCAGCATCACCGGCAGCTGCAAAGCCCTCGTAAAGCCAAAAGAAGCCAAGCTGAGACACATGGCGTCTGTCCCCGCTGTGTGTGGCCACCTTGCTTGCAAAAGGATTTGACCTGTGGGCCAATCAAATCAGGAATTTAATCTAACTGTAGATGGGGTGTATGTTTGTGCATTGCGATCCACCAGAAACCCAGACTTGCAGTTGGTGGAAAAGCACCTTCCTCACCATGGCTCGGTTTGAAAGGGGCATCAGGATGCTGAAGGAGGGCTTGGTGTCCTGGGGAACAGCCCTCTGTGGAGGTGCTATATCAGTGGGGTCACCTGGGAATCCCCAAGGGAGCTGGAAAGCTCCATGAGGACAGCCCAAGTTTTCAGTCCTGGTCTAGGTTTCACTAGAGGCCACGTGTGGACCCTGGTATGACAGTGGGGGCAGGATCTCCCGAGGACTCCCTTGAGCCCCGGCTGACAGTCAGTGACGGTGCCGAGCAGAGAGAATCACTCCTGAGGCCGTCGATGTGCAGGGGTAAATGGCGCAGAGACAAGCATTAGCTGCTGCTGCCCCAGCTCTCCTGGGAAATGGCTGAGAGAAAGAGCAGCAGATGGGGGCCGCTTAACCACAGTTCTTAACTGCAAGTGCTTAACACGTGAAAACTAATCTTTGCTTTTATGGAGAAAGCTTTCTGAAAAGGAGAACTGTGACCTTGGAGCTCTATGATTTGTGAAAATGGAGTTTTTCTTTTTCTTTTTTGTAAGTGGTGTTCAGAAGCCATGAAAAGGTGACTTCTAAGTGGAAAATTAAATAGACTGAATTGGAATAATCTTGGGACAAATCAACTAAAGTACTAAATAACTAAATTCTGGGTATTAGGTACAATTTTGCTTGGGAGAAGACAGTCTTGCTGGACTGGTGCCAACAGAGATAAAAGAAGAAGGGGTTTCAATTCGGAGTCTCAGAGTCTAGAAGTCTCATGAAAAAATTTCCTTGTGGCCACTTTAGAATATTGTCTGGGGGCCAAGACATTATGGCTTCTGAGGGAGCACTGGCTGCTCTCCTGGACCTGGCCAGGCTGGAAGAGACTGAGAGAGGTGGTAGGAGAGATGGGGGTGAAGCCAGAGGAGACCTGGGAAGACCCTGCACCCCTCAGTGTCCTGGGAGGAAAGGAGCTACTCTGAGAGGGGAAGTTGGGGCAGGAGTGCAGAGAGGGAGCTCACAGACTTAAAGGAGGAGCTGCTAAGAAAGTGCAAGCCACGGGAGCCCGCCCCAAGACAGATGGAGTGTAGCAGATTCCCCAACCTCCCTCCTCAGGAGGCAGAGAGCCCTTCTTGGAGAAACCACAGACTGGCCTGGGAGTGGGCAGCACAGAGCCTTCCGCAGGTGGGAGGAGCCATGTGTCCTCTGCTGAATAGACAGGGCAGGCCGCCAGGGGCCATGTCTTCATCCAGTGTCCACTGGGTTTGCAAAATGAATACCTCCCATATCTCAACACATCATATTTTTCTGATAGAACTTGGTTTTATTTTCTGACATTCTTAACCAGCCTTAAAAAGTTAGACTAATTAACTATTGAACTATTGAATATATGTTTTTATCTAAAGTCTTTTAAGAAATTGAAGGTCAACATTAAAGCTGCCTGAGATAAAAGATAATTGACATTGGAGCCCATGGAAATTAAGAGATAAAGGGGAATTTTAGATCGCAGTTCGAAGACAGATATTTGCTGGCATTTCCATTTTGTGTTTGTGGTCCATTAGGGTGTGGATTCTCTCTGAGGTCCTGGATGTCCTGTGCCCAGGGCTGGCTTCACGTACATGCCACCTGTGCAGTCTCTCCAGGGCCCAGGCTCAGAAGGGTCTATGCTCAGTATGATGTTCTATTGCTGTCTTATAATTCTTGATCATTTTTGAACAAGGGTGTCTGCATTTTCATTTTGCACTGAGTCCCACAAATCAGCTGGTCCTGCCTCTGCCTCTACAGTGTTCAGTGTCCCCTAGAGAGCTCAAGCTGGTTTTTCCTTTTTCAGAGAGTTGATGCTTGAGGGACACTTGTTGAGGGGGAATGTTTGGATTGCAAAATTTGGAGCCTATTCCATGATGCTTGATTCAAGGGTCAAAAGAAGAAAAGAAAAGGAGATTTCTAAATTTAAGGGCAACATTCAATTTATAAAGAGAAAACTGGTAGCCAAAAAAAAAAAAAGAGTGGACAATTGTATTAATAAACTATCATGTCACTGCAAGTAAAGATTCCTAGTAGAGATCAAGGTAAATTGAAATCAACAGCATACATTTTTACAGAAACATTTTTTTCTATTTTGTCACTGAAGTGCTAAAAGTCCCCACGTCACTCTCTCTATTTCTAGTGCTCATGTGAAGTAAGATAATATGCACTCAACACCGAGATTTTGGTCTCTAATACTAATTACTGGTTAAAATAATCAGAGCTTCTTTGAGAGTAGCTAATTCCATGTTTGTAGTAGAAGGATTTACAATGAATTTGGGGTATCTTGTAATCTTAGTCTTTGCAAAACTCAAGAAGGTAGTTTTAGCTTAGCAAAAGAAGGCTGCTTTGCAAAAGAAGCAGGAACCACTGACAGCCAGTGTGGATTTATTTTCTAAAGACAAATAATTCCCACCTTGTTAAGCTCACAGTTGAGAGGAGTGATCTTGATTTTAGCAAGTCATTTGACAAAATCACACAATATCCTTGTGACTAGATAAAGAAATGTAGAGTAGATTTGAGGACAACTATATGGACTCAGAGCTCACTAAAACAATAGATCAACAGGTGATTCACAAGGGGACAGGAGGAATGTAATAGCATTCAGAAAAGCCTAATCCTTGACTCTTCCCTCTTTTTTATTCAACATTTCTATCAACCATTAGAATGATGACATGCTTATAAAACTTAGAGATGACACAAAGTTAGGAGGGTCAGCCAACCTGCCCTACAATGAGACAACAAGCCACAAGACATCTTCAGATTGGGACAATGTATGAACATGAATCACTTGTAGTAAGAAGGAACATAAAATCACACACTTGAACTTTAAAAATAGACACAGTGCATAATGAAAAACGCCTAATTTTATAAAGTTTGTATGAGGAAGATCCAGGGTTGTTAGTTATGAATCAAGAGGGTGAGATGGATGCTTTTTTATAAAAGAAAGAGTGCTACCTTAGGCTGCATGATTGAAGTGTCTATATCAGGGGTCAGAGAACTTTCTCTGCAAAGGGTCAGAGTAACTATCTTAGGCTTTGCAGGCTGTCTGGTCTCTGTCACAGCTGCTCAGCTCTCTGCCCTCGCATGAAAGCAGCCAGAGAAAGCACATGAGGGAATGAGTGTGAGTGAGCTCCAAAAAAATTTATTTATGGACACAAATTTGAATTTCAGATCATTTCACATGTCATGAAATATTATTTTTATTTTAAAAACCGTTTAAAAATGTATTCCCCGCCCCCCCAAAAAAGCAAAAACCATTCTCAGCTTGTGGGCCATACCAACATAGGTGGCAGGTGGATTTATCTGGGGGCCCTAGTTTGCTGCCCCTGATCTCCGTCAAAAGACACTGTCCTCAGCCCTGGTCAAAGCACTCCTGGGCGAGTGAGCGTCACTTAAAAATTAGGTCTCTCTCAAGTGCGATGATGGTGGAGGAGCTGGATTCACTGACTCCACGGGAGAGAAAGCTAAGGAAGAGTCCACGGATACTGAAGAATACTCAAAGGGCTGTCGTGGGAATAGAGGAAGATGCTTGACCCATGCTGTTTTGCAGACCAAGGAGGATGAGAGGAAGTTACAGGGAGGCAAATTTAACCTAGTGTGGGGAGAATTTTCTATCCAACAGAGCTGTTCCATCATAAAATGGGTGGCCTCTTAAGGTTGTTATTGCACAACCGTCTTTTCAGAACGTTACTGTAGAGATTCTCCACAGCGAATGGGAAGTGGGAATCAGTGAAAAATTCAGAAATGTTTATTAAGCAAATCTAACCTTCAAAAATCCTTAGAACCTCTTGATTAATGTACTTCTTTATTTCTTCAAATGAAACCGCATCAGCCTAAAGAAGGAAAAAAGAAAATTCTGTTATAATAGAGCATAGCACGAACAAATCAAGACTAGAAATATTGGGTTGGTGTGCATCCTTGAACTTCCGTAGAAGTACGTTTACCAAGAAAAATGCTTTTGGCAATTGACTATGTTAGGCAATAAATATCTCTTGTTTTGATTAATGTGAGGAAGAAGCTAAAGTGCATAATTGCTTTAAAAGCTGTGGGAGGAATCACAGCTAGTGATATGAACATGTTTCTTGGTCAATGGAGAGACATGGCTTCACACGCTTACGACAGACATTTCCTATGACTTCATGCTCTGAAGTCACAGAATTTGAACAGTGTTATCATCAAGTTAATATCCCAGGAAGAGTTTAACTTCTAACCAATCCCTGGACGCTGGTAAAGTTAATATCTAACTGATGTGATGTATCTTCAAAGGAAGAGAACTCCACGTGTGCTGGATTATTCTTTAAAACGTTTTATTCATGGGATAAAGCTTACTAAGTTTTACCCATTTCACAGCAAAGTTTATGCTGTAACTTACACATTGCCAACACATTTATTTTAAGCAATTTTCTTTATTTTGATAGAAAATGCTGTGGGACATGGTAAAGGGAAGGAGGTGACATCAGTTGAGATATTAACCCCTTGACAAACAAGTCTGCGTGAGTTTGACAAAGAATCTAACACTTATAATAGTAATGTTTTACCACAGTACCTTGGTATTTTTAAAAGAGAGTGATTATTTTTCATGATGGTTAGAATTTCCAAGTCTTTTACGACTCTTCTTTGTATTTGGTGATTTTTAGCCAGAGGTATGTGTGTGGCATTAAAGACAATGTGATGGGCTCAAGAGGGGATGATTTCTGTAGGATAGAGTAGTTCCAGGAATGCCCTATCTCAACATTTTATTTTCACAGTGTACAGTACAAATGAACTTGAATTAATGCACCTAATACCAATTACGGACACAGCACCAAGAGTTCATTACATAGGCTTTATTCAAGTAGAGCTTAGGGAGAGCGGCTGAAAGTAAAGCTGTGTGAAAATTGTGGGAATGCCCACTCTGGCCCTACATCTGGTGCTGGCTGATTATCTGAGGACAGCGTGTCCTTAACTCTGACCTCACTCAGGACTCTCCTCTCTTCCTGACGTGGGTATTTGCAGATTAAGTTCCCTGTGGAATGGCCATTCGCCGCCCCTCCTGAGGATATTAATAAGGACATCGGCTTCCTTAAACACTGTTTCTGGGCCCAACTGGTTTCCTCTTCTGCCCTATCAGGGCAGATTTGTTGTTCTGATTTTTAACGAAATGGAGTTTTAATATGAAACAGACACAGGTGTTTCCTGTAGTGTGAGGAGACACAACGGATAGCATCTAAGAGCGTGGCTTTGGAGTAAGTCAGCCCTGGGTCCGACCTGGTAAATGACTGTCACCTTGGACAGTCAGCTCTCAGTTTCTGCATCTGTAACAGTGGATGGAAAGGACAGCACCCTCCCAGGTTAGCTGTGAGGATCCAGTGAGGTAGGGTACAGTACGGGCTTATTGGAGGATCTGGTCCATCACTTGAAATAAATGACAGCTGTTGCTACCCTCTCAGAGACCAGTTTAGGTTCACATTATTTATTTTGAAAGGACTGTGACTGCTTTTATTGTAAAAGGGCTACGTTGTGAATACAGCCAGGAGCTCCCAGAGCTCTCGGCACCACTTACCGGAGAGCCGGGGATGCCTGGATCACCTGGAGGGCCTTGGTGCCCAGGGGATCCCGTGGAGCCCTTGTTTCCTGGTGGCCCCACAGGCCCTATGGCCCCCTTCATGCCTGGAAGGCCTGGTTTTCCCCGTTCGCCTTGTGGGCCTCTGTCTCCTGGAATTCCCTGATCACCCTGTTAAGGAAAAAATTCATCATAAAGAATGAGTGTTCTAAAACCACGGTAGCTGTGGTTGAGAGCAAGGTTCTGGATTTGTACTGGCACTCATCAGCTGTGGGACCTTGGGTAAGTGAACTAAACTCTCAGTGCCTTGGCTTTATCTCCCATAAGGTGAGGATGCTAACTGTATCCACTAAGTAGAGGACGCTGAGAAATAAATGAGGTAACTCGAGAAAGGGCTCAGAACGGCACGCTGGAAGCACTCAATGAAGAGTTAGTGATGGTATTAGCTGTACACGTTGCCACCCTAGGATGAGGACACTTTGGAAAGTGCACAGCAGCTGTCACTCCAGGCCTGGGCCTCCTTTGCGATAACAACGGAACATTGCCAAGAGGATTTCATCACTGAGATTTTTCACTCAGAAAAACTTCAGGACACTCAAAATCTCTCCTAAATCATGTGCTTTTCTTTTTTTCTGTTTTCTCCTCTGTGTTTGGACTTTATTAGATTCTGTGTGTTGGTTTCTGTACTTGTGTTTTACGCGTGTGTGTGTGCACGCATGCTGTGCCCTAAAGACACACAACTCAGGAAGGTGAGAGAGGAGAGCTTTGGAAAGGTTCCAAGCAGGTGGTTGGGGTAGAGGGTCGTCACTGAGGTCATTTCCTCAACGACATAAATGAAGTATTAGAGAATTCATTGAATAAGGTGCCACGACAAATTGGGTGTAAGATTATGTTAGATGTGCCCGAATCTGATAAAAAGCTTCTTTACGGCTGACTTTTATCCTACAAGGTGTCTATTATTCTGTTTGTGCCTGAGAGGATATGAGAGAGAGAGAGGGAGAGAGAGACAGAGAGGGACAGAGGGAGAGAGGGAGGGGCTTATAGCTATAGATACTTCAGATGTTCAGTTCCACAACTCCCGCAGGTGACGCGCACACCAAATACAGAGGAATGGTGCATTGAGGAGGCTTTGTATTTCACTGTATTATTCTTTTATTTGTGACTAACCTGCAAAAGGCTGAACTCTATTTCTCTTGATTTAAAAAATAATGAAAACAAATGAACAATTACAGAGATCTATTTGATCATGGAACGAAGAGATATAGAAAGAAGCTGGTAGAAAGAAGAAAAAACAGATGGACCTAATTTCAGTGCTACTGTCTTAGTTATAAAAACGTATCTGCACACAAGTATATCAACCCAGCTCACATTTGGAGAAACATCTGAGATGACTAAAACTAAAAAAAGGAAATAAAAGAAATACTAGCACATTTTGATCAATACTCTGATCATGTGCAAAATAAACACAATCTTTAACATATTAAAATTATTTTATAATTTAGGCACAAGGATGTACATTACAGTGATGTTTATTATTATGAAAACTGAACAGAACCTAAATACCCAGAAAAGGGGGCAGGGAAAGTGAAATAAGGCATATGCAAGCAGCGGCATAACACAGCCACTAAGAGGTAAGTGTAGATCTGTGTTTACCGACATGGAGACACGGTCATTTTACATTGCTAGGTGAAAAAGTCGTTCACAAAACAGTATGAACCCACTTTTGGAAAAGTATCTATTCATTTGCAGTGATACATTAAGTATATGTGTATACTATGTATAAGAGTGAGAGAGATGGAAATATATCCCAAACAACGAAAGTGTTCGTCTCTGTGAAGTGGGATAAGGCAGACTCTAATTTTTAAATTTATATTGTCTCTATTTTCATATTTACTTCAGTTATCATGGATTATTCACGTAATAATAAGTAAAAACTAGTAAACTAGACACCAGTACATAAACACATGTGCATGTGAGCACGGGTGCACGCACGCACGTACGCGCACACACACAGACACACCCTGGCAGCCCTTACTAGAATTTTACTGAATAACAATGTTTGAGTAGCCTGTTGTAGTGGAATGGCTCCAATTCTGCTAGGAAATGTTAAAGTTCATTAAAGAAAATAATGGGAAGTTGCAATAACGACATCAACAACCCAAACAATTCAAATAAAAGCATCGACCATAACTGGCATTGCTGGTGACTTCATACACTCAGTCCCCCTTTCCATTTCTCTAACCCCTTACACCACCCCCTCCCTCAACTTAGTATTCCACTAGGTCAGGGGTTCTCAACCAGGGCAGCCCCCCAGGAAACATTTGGTGACGTCTGGAGAACTTGCTGGTTGTCACAACCGGAGGGAGGGTGGTGCTACTGCATCAGTGGGTAGGGGCCAGGGATGCTGGTAAGTATCCTACAATGCACAGGACAGGCACCTACAACAAAGAATTATCTGCCCCAAATATCAGCAGTGCTGAGGTTGAGAAACCCAACTCTAGGTAAAAAGAACATGGGTGATGATTATAGTAGGGATATGTGTCTGAAACAGGAGGATGACAAAAGCTTTCCAAACTGGCATAGCAAACTAGACTTAGCTGTGTATACAAGGCCAACTATGCAGGTGTACCTGCCACAGGACCTGCTTCTGGGTCCTTTAATTGCTGCGTTTTATGCCAGCAGAGATCTTGGATCACACACATCCTAGCCTTTTCATATTGGGAGATTCGTAGGGTTCCACATACATAATTGTGTAACTCAGATGATGAGACAGTCGAACAGACAGACTGAAATAACAACCCCAATGTTAATATACATACCCGTTCTCCTTTGGGGCCTCTGTCTCCAGGCTTACCCATGACGCCCTGAAACACAGATATCAACACTAAAAACCACTGCTCGCCTACATTTCCCATCACTTTGATGGATCAGGTGTTCTGGAGGTGGTTTTGCATTGGAATGTTTACTTTAAGTGGTATTTTCCATACCTGAGCACCTGGTAATCCATCTTTTCCGTTTATTCCCTATAAAGACAAAAATGATTAATATTTCTACTTCTGCATCAACAGCCACAACAAAGGGGTTAAATTTTAAGGATTTAATTATATTTCTACTGAGATTTTGGTGAGGCAGTGTAGTGAAGCGGAAAACACCAGATAGCCCCGAGTTCCAAATCTGACTCGGTCACTAACTAGCCCCATTCGCTTCAGGCTATTTACTTAACCTTAATAGCACCAGCTTTCCCACTTACAAAGTGAGGATGAAATAATGGCTTTAAAAGTAAGGGTGTAGTGGAATAACAGAAAATGCTGCGCTCACTGGAAATAGTCACCATGGTTATTTTCCTTACCTATTCTATCAGGTACGTTCTGAGAAATAAGAAGGCTCCCCGTGGTGCTGGGGCTGGCGTATGGCATTTATTTTTACCTTCTAACACATTTTCCAGCCCAGAGACTCATTCTCAGTAAATGGTCTCATTGCTGCTGGGGAAATTTCATAACACCGCCAGAGCATCGTCCTACCATGAAATAAACTGTCAGCTGGAGAACAATTGTTATTTTTCAGTTGGAACATATGAAAAGAAAGTAAGAAATCTGTGGTCATGGTTTTTGAGAGTATTAAATAGTGGCTTTTTATTAGAAAACAAAGTTTCTTGAGCTTTACAAGTCAGTTCTGGAGGTGGTAAGAAAGCTCGGAGATTTCTAAGACCGGGAGAGCTATTGGCTGGGAGGTGTACCACGGAAAAGCACCTGGAGTGAAATCCGACCCTCGAGTCCCAGGCAGATGTGTTTCTGACATTTGATTTGAAGAGTGAGACCAAGGAGAGGAAAACGATTTCGTAGCCAGCAGGCAACAGCACGGACATGCTCCTCTGAAAAGCCCAGGAGACTGATTTTGCTGGAATGGTTTCCATGAGGATGGAACGGCACGCAACACATGCTCTCACCGCTGTAAATTACACTAAAGTCTGTCACAGTTGATAACCCAACTGAAGTCCCCCAGCCTCTCTGAAACATCCTGGGAATTATCTAGAGAACTTGAACTAAGAACCAGAAGTGTACGGTTCAAAGAATTTCTTACATCCAGAAACACAAGCAAGAAAGATAAAGCTGATTAAGGAGAGGATGTGAAAGAAACACCGGTGTAACGAATAAAAGAAGATACGCCTAGTGTAAAAATGTAATTCATGTCTTTGGTAACAATGTAAGAACAGAAATAAGCCGATAGTTTTTTCTGTCTCTTGTAATTCATCAAAGACATGTGTGTTCTCTTTTGTATATGAAGGTGTTACTAACTTGCTTTCCATAGGCGAGTCCTGCAGTCAGAGATTTTTACAATAACCTGTATGTATCTGCCTCTCTCTCCCCCCATCTCACTTATCTAGAAGAACCCCATTCCTGGATCTAACCAACTTTCTGTCTACTGAACATCGGCACCTGAGCAGCTAACTGTGGTTGAGGAAAACCCTGTGTCGTTGCTCACTTGCTCCAATCTAAACGTTCGATGGCAGACTACAAGCAGCCCTCCGCATTACCAGCCACTCTTCTGTATTTCCTTCTCTCCAAAAGTACTCTTTCACCTATTTTCCTGTCTCTTCAAACCTCCAGCATCACACCCCTCTCCTCACGCTCAGCTGATGACCTCGATTCTTCTTCCTCTGAGAAAATAAACAGGAGAGAACCACCTCACCTTGCCTCCACCAGGTCCACCAACCCACATGCACTTCTGCCTTCCTCCCTCTCATTGAGAAGGATGAACTGCCCCACTCCTTGTTGAGACCAATTTCCACTGTGAGTGGAATACCAGTCTCCTCTGCCTCCTCAAACTTATAGCCACTCTCTTGTACCATCAAAATTTCCCCTCTCAACTGGATCCTTCTTATCAAGAAACTGATGTGTGTAATCTCTCCCGCCAAGGACCTCCACATTTCTAAATCCAGTGGGGAATGATCAGCTCTCAGGTTACTTACCTGTATGTTTCTCACTCCTTTCTCTTAAAATGCTTAGTTCCTTGACATCTGGAAACCTCATTTGCCTAGTTTTCTTCATATCTCATTGGCAGCACCTTCTCTGTCCTGTTGCTGGGTCCTCTTCCTAACAGTTGAAGTGCTCTCTCCCCTTCCCTATCCACAGGGACTCCAACTGACCCAGGCTCGGGTTTAAATACCCAAATCGTTCTCTCCAGTCCTGGCCTCTCCACTAATTCCAGACGCTTATCCACTGCTCACTTGACATTTCTACCTGGATATCTACTAGTGCATCCAGATGAATGTGTCCAAAACAGAGAACTCTTGATTTTCCCTCCCAATCCACCCTCCTCCAGTCTTTCCCATCTCACCAAATGCCCTACTCTCGAGTAACTGCTCAGACCCCAAACCACAGCTTCGATTTGTCTCTCCCTCACACTCCACATCCGGTCCATCAGCAGGTCTTGTTGGATGTCTCTTCGATGTGCATCCTAAATTCTCCTACTCTCATGACGTCCCTGCTCCCACAATCGTTGTCTCTCGTGGGCATTATGGCGGTGCCTCCTCACTGTTCTGTCTGCTCTCACCCTCTGCTCTCCACACAGCAGTCAGAGTGATCCTTTAAAATGCAGTCCAATTGTTTTCCTTCTCTGCTACAAACGCTCCAATGAAATCCAAACTCCATTCATGGTATAGAAGTTCCTTGTGCCTGGCCACTGCTGACCTCCCCCTCAGTGTCTTTCCCACTCTTCTTTAGCTTAGTTCATTCTTGACTTCATGCCTTTTGCTGTTCCTACAACACACCAGGCTCTACTAGCCATTTCTTTTACTTGAAACAAGAAACTCTAACCTCCCTATGGCTTGATCTCTCACTTCATGCAGGATTTGCTCAAATGGCATGCCTTTTTTTTTTTTTTTTTTTTGCTGAGGAAGATTTGCGCTGAGCTAACATCTGTGCCAATCCTCCTCTATTTTTCTTTGTATGTGGGACACCGCCACAGCATGGCTGGTGAGTGGTCTAGGTCCACGCCCGGGATCCAAACCCATGAACCTGGGCTGCCAAAGCAGAGCGCATGCAACTTGAACCACCCAGCCACGGGGCCAGGCCCTGGCATGTCTTTTTTGACAGCCCTATTTAAATGCTATGTAGACGTCACCCTACTCAGATCTTCTTCTACCTGAAATTGTGTGTGTGTATTTATTTGTTTGTTGTCTGTGTCCCTACACTAGAATGTAAACCCCAGGAGTTTCTGGCACCCAGAACAGCACCCAGCACGTAATAGGTGCTTAGAAATACTTGGGGAATGAACAAATCACTTTTTGCACAGTCCCTGGGAGCCTGAAGGCAAGCATTTATGAGACGGCTTACAGGGGCTGGGAATGGGGAGTTGGTAAGAGGAGGTAAAGGGGAGGCAGGAATGGGAGTAGTATTTACTGAGCAGCCCCCACGGCCACACTGGAGATGCTCACCATGTTGTGCGACTTCAGTGCCTCACAGAACGCTCTGAGTCACAACCCAAACCCAGATCTTGCTGACTCTAAAGTGCTGATGCTTCCCGTTATCTTGCATTGCCTTCTCCAGGGGAAGGTGGCCAGGGAATGCTTGACCCTGAAGGTTTCCCAGACACTAAACCACCTGCGTGAACTCCGTGCTGCTAGTTCACCTTCAGTCCCCTCTTTTCCTCACAGCACCCCTTCCCATGCAACCACAGCAAACACAAGCCATGGGGGCAGTGACTTTCTATAAAGAGTAAACCTGAGGTTTGGGCACGTCTTTTTCATCTTTATATCCCCTACCTCGGGGCCTAGCACACCCCTAGCAAACGGCAGGGACCGGACGAATAGATGTTGAACTGAATTGAATTAGTAGGAACGATTGTTACAATGTTGCATCAAGACTATATATCAGTAGCTAAGAGCTCTTTTAGGACACAGGGGATGACATACTTGGCAGCAGTGATTTATGAAAGTGTAAGAACAAGGTTCATAAATAAAGGAGGGAATCTGAGAAAATAGCTTCTACTTTATTCTTTAGCTTAAAACACAAGTGTTATATCTGTGAGTCTTCAGTTTCTTTGTATTTTAGGATGTGATAGCCATTTTATTTTTTAACTCCAATGAGAACATTAGACTTAAGAAATAATGAGTCTAATTTCCTGACACTTAACAAAAAATCTCACCCTTCTCACCTTTGTTTAAGACATAAAGACCCCTGATAGAGAGCTAGGACACTCAGCGAGAAGCACACCCCAAAACTCCATTTGCAGAATCTGCTCTTACTTCCTTGGAAACTACTTATTCAAATCTCAGATTTTCCGAGGAGATAGGCAAAGAGGGAATACTTAGAACATTTCTCAAACTGGAAAATTTTAAGTAGTAAAAAGTACTTACTGGCTTTCCTGAGGGTCCTTCCGGTCCAGGGAAACCTATATCTCCAACAGGTCCTCTCTCACCCTGTGGACACAGCCACAGACGGACATTAGTTGCCAAGAAGAGCTTCAAAACTGCACACAGGATCACACAAGTACAACTATTACATAAGTCACTGGCAACTCACCGGTTCCCCTGGAGCTCCTGGGGGCCCCGGGGCTCCAGGTTTTCCCTGGGAAATAAATCAAGGAGAAACGTTAGAAGCCGAATTACTGAATGATGCCACGTGCTTCCCCCTCCCCCCGTGAGTTCACTGTGCTGCCAGGGCTGTGGCTTTCTACACTGAAGTGACATTCCTAATGGGACAGGGTCCAGGGGACCCAGGCCTGACTCTGCAGGCTCTAAGGTACAGACTGGAGAGCAGTTCTCTATACATACGTGTGTAGGGCAGAGGGGAGGAGAATAGTTTTGAAAATGTGAAACAACGTATCCTCATTTCTGGAAGTACTCTTGTGCCTGTTTGACTGGCAGCTCTTCTTTAGTTTGGGGGGTGGGAGGGCACAGGGGTGTCAACGAGCTCCTGTCTACACTTGGAGTTTCATAAGAGAGTTTTTACGTTCATAGTAAGATAGCCTGAAAAAAGCATGTTTGATTTGAAAGGCAGTGTTTTGTTGAAAGGGAGAGGACAAGGTGGACTTGTTCCGATACACGTCAATAGATGTGTCCTGGAGGACGGACAACAGAAATCCTGGGGTAGAGAGACCACGGCGGGGACAAGAGAAAGATGGTCTAGCAGGGATTGCAAGTGGGGAAGCGCCGAAGGGTCCAGACCAGCCTGAAAGATGTTGCCTTTGAGAAGGAAGCGCCTCCTATTCCCTGGACCTCGAGTGGTAGGGAAAGACAAATAATAGGGGATGTAGGTTGGGGCTGAGACCATAGGAACCCCAGGAGGGTGCGAGGGAATATGAAAAAGGAGGGCTTCCTCCCCCTTGCTGTTCAAAATTCTGCGGGGCGCCTCCTGCACAGGTTCAGGTGTGGTGAGTGGTGAACTAGGCGGACACAGGCCCGAGAGAGCATCCTTGGCCCCCGCAGCCTGTGTGTGCAAGTGGGAGCTCCTGAGGGTCCTGTGTGCCCGAGGTGGGGAGTGTGTTGGAGCTGAGAAAGCCAACGTCCAAAAGGGTCTTGGCATGGGACACGGGTGCAGAGTGCTCGGCCCTGAGATCTGAGACGAAGGATCAGGAACGTTGATAGCAGGCAGCAGCAATCCTGCAAGTCAGGTAGAACCTGGGGGAGCACACTGACCAGAGGCCCTGCACACAGCCAGCACTTACAGACACTTCCTCCTGTAGACCCAAAGTGCCATTCCGGGAGGAAGGGGGAGAGGAGAGCCCTGGAGAGCCCTGCATAGCCCTAAATATACTGGAAAGGGATGGACTGACCTAGGAAGAGCAGGATGGGGCCCTTCGGTACTCAGCAGAGTGACCATGATGGGCCTGAGTAGGAGGGTTTCATCCCTGCTGTACAATCATCTTAAAAAAATCTTTTTATTGTGGTAAAATATACATAACATTAATCTACCATTTTTGCTATTTTTAAATGTACAATTCAGTGGCATTAAGTACATTCACACTGTTGCATGACCATCACCACTGTCTATATCCAGAATCTTTTAACTATTTTATTTTCCGAGCCACAGTAAGGTCCGGTTATCAAAAATTAAGTTGCATTTTTGATTACACAGTTGTACGTTTGCATTGCCATGTGCAACATTTTTACCCCTTCTCTATCTGTAACTGTCAATTAATCCTCTTAATTATGAGATAAGAAAACTACATTTTAAGTAAATCTATCAGATCTTAGACATCCAAATAGGTGGCAGGCGAGCCCCTTATTTCAATCATGCTGCATCCTTCAAAAATATCTTTGGAATTCTTCATTTGGATTGCCTTTGAGCCTGTCACTCATCTTTTAAATGCTTTCAATGGTTGCCAGTATTTTTTCTTCGCAAGTAGACTTAATCTAGGGTAATAGCCAAAAGTAATGTGTAGTCACTCCTGGGTGAATACAGTGGGAATTAAGCTTCATTACACCACGTGGAAACAAAAACGGTGTGATTATGGGGGGCAGGTTGTAAGGGGACTGAGGGCAACTCTGGAAACAGTTGCTAATATGTTGCGAAGAATGGTAGTGAGTCCAAGAGGGGGACTAAGGGGATTAAGTGTGAGCCAACTTTCAAGAAGGATACTTTCTCGTATAAAAAATTCTGATGTGCTTGCTGAAGAAAATATTTTCTTGTTACCTTTATAATCATACTAATATTTAACTTGATCTAGAACAGCTAAATAAGGGGATGTCATCTCTATAAAGGATGGTTTCTATGGACTATGGATGGGTTTTTACTTTTTGTTTTTAGATTTAGCAACTAAATAGAGTGAAGTAAGTGGCTACTGGCCTTTTCAGGGATGGCGGTGGGGGGTGGTGGCAGGTGGCTCTGGCTGGTGTGGAGTGTCAGTAGATGTCAGTGGGTAGTGGTGGGTGGTGATGGTAGACCCCTGTCTTATCTTTCTCATGTTCCTGTGATTCAAGCGGGTGGTTTCCATTGACTTTCCTACCCTGGACCTACTCTGCAGGAGCACCCAGCAAGAGGGTAAATGGGCTCATATTCAGAAAGCATGACCACAAAATTTTAATTAGAGCATCATGAATGAATATCAGAATGATCCCTCCGGCTCAGAGAAATGATTTCAACCTTTCCTGGAGCACTTCCTATTCATTTGAAAAGACCTTGATGAGATTAAAGCATTTGACACCAGAGAGCAACAAAAATGATTGAGAGGATCGGAGGGCTAGTTTACGAGGTAACATTAGCAGCAATAAAGCTCTGCTAATAACACCGGGCTGAGGGAGAACTCAGCCTGACTGCAGCCTAATACAAAGAATTTGAAGTACATGTCTGAGGGTGAGAATTTTGTCTTCTGAGGATCAAGAAACCTTGAAATATGACAAGAATAGAGAAAGAAAACAAGCTTTTCAAAGCTGTGCTCATATCGTCACAAGTACCTGGCTCCCCAGGTAAGCGCAGGTTTCAGGAACCTTATGCCTCAGGAGTCAACATGTGCTCCCCAGTGTGGGTTGATTGTGGAGACAGAGCTGTTTACCTATAAAAATAATGTGAGATAAAATGGACTCACTGATATTCCGGCTATTCCTGGGGGTCCTGCTGGGCCTCGATCTCCCTGTTGGGATTTAAAAAAAAAATTGCTACTTATAACGATATCTGTAAAATCTTTACCTATAAAATTAATGCTCATATAATCATTTGGATTTGGTAAAACTTTCCTTTGCAATTAATAAGCATTATCACTACCAGCTGGTGTGAAGCTAGAGGGTAGGTGGGAAAATAAAATGAGTAGCCAATTGAACCTGTTTAATGCTTTCTTTTCTTCATAAAGCTAAAGCAAATAATAATCTCAATGAAAACAAGCATTCATGTAATCATTTCTGTGACCTATTTTTAAGAGGACTCCACACATACCTACAGCTAAAATTAGTCAATATTTTTATTTCACATATTCAAAAGCAATTCATTACCACACTTAAAAGAGTAAGCACATTGAATGTCTTCTGAAAATCTTTCCCAATCCACTTGTCTCATTGGATGTAGGGTTAGAATAAAGATATTTAGAACAAGGGATTTTGTAGTTCTCCTCATGAGGCCAATCAGAAGATCCCTTGAATTGCTCTGAACAGTAGAGTGACTCAACTCTTTTTCCAAAGGCAATGTGGTGTTTTAGATAAAGCTGACTATGCTAAAAATACTCTTGTTTATATAGGACAACAAAATGGCACTTTTTGTTGAGCAGAACCTACATTAAAAAACTTCATAACTTCACTCAGGGACATAAAAGAGGACTTGATTTAAATGGAGAGATACGTTTTGTTCTTGGAGGGCAAGACAATGTTGTAAAGGTGTCATTGCTACTCAAACTAATTTATAAATTTAATGCAATTCTTACAAAATTGCAGCTTGATCAAAGATACTAAAGTTCACTCGGAATAATAAATAAATGAGAGCATAAAAGAAAAAATTAAAAGAGGGATAATAAGGAGATTAGCAATACCAATATTTAACCATATAATAAAGTTATAACAAGGAGAATAATGGAAAATTGGCAGATTAAGCAGTATATCAATGCTACACAACAGAAACCTCAGAAATAGACCAACATTTATAATAGGATTTTAGTAAAGGAGGTATTATTCAACAAATAGTGATAATATTGAATAATTTCTTTGAAAAAAGTTTGATTCCTCCTTTACATTATACTCCATATAAATTCCATATAGATTATGTAAAAAGCAAAATAATATGAAGTATAAAAGAACCAGAAGAAAATATGTGACTATCTGATTTTGGTTGAGAATAAGAATAAAAGTCAGTTTGTGCATAAAAGCAAAACAAGAAATCATAAAGAGAAATAGTTTTATATTTGACTACCTAAAGTGTATATTTACATATACAGTAAGATTAAACATAAAAATGAAAGGCAAAGACCAACTAGGATAAAAACTCCAACATAAAGGATAGAAGTAATGTCTTTAATATATAAAGCATAGTTACAGTCAAATAGAAAAAGCACTAATAGAAAAGTGGGCAAATGATGTAAACAGGTAATTCTTGGTAGTTTCACTCTGCTCCTTTTAAATTACGAGATTTCGTATGCTTGAAATGAATATACTGGAATTTTTTATTCAATGGAAACATTTGCAAATCTGATAAAGATAGATGTTTAAGAGGCCTTCTCGCTGACAAGATGGTCCTTCCAACATTCAGGTCTCTCAGTTCTTTGAACCACTCTCCTCTAGTGATCCAGTCTCTTATTTCCATAGTTATACCTGAGACCTTGTCAACAACAGTAACTGCATCCCCTCCATAATATCATGCAGTCCAAACTTGGGACCACTATCTCCCACCATTCTAACTCACTCCCTTGAGTACCCTGGACTCCCAAAACTTTTCATGTCACCAAGACCTCCAATCCATCGACGGTACCAATTTTTCATTATCCTTCCCTCCCTGGATGGCCTCTCTCCTTTACTTATCGAGTTTAACCCCAGGGTCACTGGTTATAATGACTCCCTTGTGTACACATATCACTGACTCTCTTGCCCCATTCTTGCTCCTCATACTTACTTGTCAAAACTGAAACCTTGCTTAATCCAACTCCCCTCCTATTCTGTGCCTCCACCTGAGTATCTGTACATGGCTGGGGAAGATCTCGCTGACGGGTCTCACTTCAGTTCCTGACCATGAACCTCAAGGGGGTCCCTAGGGCTGTCTAGCCATCACACTCTGTGGTCCGTGGAGGGGTCCTCTCTTCTAGAAGACCTTCTCTTTAAATCTCCGACCTATTCTTCCTACCTCACTTTCATATGATGACCTTACATTCTCCATCTCCGGGAAAATTTAAGCAACCAGGAAAGAACTTCTATAGACTCCAACCAATTACTCTTCCCACATATCAGCACCTGTACCCCTGTCCTCTGTTTTCCCACCTGCTACCACAGATGAATCCAGGCTCCTTCTCTGAAGCCAAAGTCTCCATTTATGCACTAGGTCCCCTTCCCTTGTAGCTTCTTAAGGACGTCATTCCAGCAATTCTCTTCTCTCCTCCTCTATCTTCACTCCCCTTCCCCTTTCTACTGGATCATTCCTTTAGCATACAAACATTCTGGTATTTCTATGGTCTTAAAATCCACTTTAGTTAGCCTTACCCTACTTCTTCCAGCAGCTACTAGCTCATTTCTTTGCTTTCCTTTACAGCAAAACTCCTTGAGCATGGTTTATACTGTATTTCCTGTCTCTAATTCTTTTTTTCTCATTCTCTCTTAAACCCATTCAAGTCCAGCAGTTGCTCCTACCAATATAGTGAAGTAGTAATAATTTATCTGGTGATACATGACCTCTATATTGCTAAGTTCAGTGATCAATACTTGACTATTCTACTTGACCCCATCCCCGTCATACTTGACCTATTTACAGTATTTGAGACAGGTGATCACTTCCTTTTCCTTGATACATTATCTTCACCAGGCTTCCAGGACACCAAGTTTTCCTCCTATCTCCCTGGTCACTTCATCTCAGTCTCCCTTGCTCAGTCCTCCTTTTCCTTCTGATCTCTGAATGCTGGAGGGCTCAGGGGACTGAAGGCTGAGTCCTTGATCCTCTTCTCTTTATAAAAAATCTACTGTCATTCCCTTGGTGACCATATCCAGTGTCCAGACATTAAGATAGCATCTATATGTTTATGACAACCAAATTTATATCTCCACTTAGACTCCTTTCTCAAGCTCCATACATACTGCCTACTTAATACCTCCACTTTGCTATCTAATAGATACTGCCAAATTTGGCCTCATGTCCAAAATTAAACTCCTGATCATCCTCACTCTCTCCAAATAGGCTCTGCCTATAGCTTTCCTCATTTCAGTTGATGACCACCCCATCACGACAGTTGCTCAGGTCAAAAACCTTGGTGACACCCTTGACTTCTCTTTATTCTCTCATACCCATATCCAACCAATCAGAAAATCCTGTTGGGAGCTAGGAGCTGTTGACTATATCTGATAAGTCAACAAAGAAATATACAAAATATACAAAGAACTCATACAACTCAATAGCAAAAAACCAAACGATCTGATTAAAAGTGGAAGATCTGAACAGACATTTTTCCAAAGAAGACATACAGATGGCCAACAGCTACATGAAAAGATGCTCAACATCATTAATCATCAGAGAAATGCAAATCAAAACCACAATGAGATCACCTCACACTTGTTAGGATGGCTATCATCAAAGACAGAAGAAATAACGAGTGTTGGCGAGGATGTGGGGGAAAGAGAACCCTGGTACACTGTTTGTGGGAATGTAAATTGGTGCAGCTATTATGGAAGATAGTACGAAGATTCCTCAAAAAGTTAAAAATAGAACTACTATATGATCTAGCAATCCCACTTCTGGGTATTTATCCAAAGAAAACAAAAACACTAACTTGAAAAGATACATGCACTCCCATGTTCATTGTAGTATTATTCACAATAGACAAGGTATGGAAGCAGCCTAAGTGTCTACTGATAGATGAATGGATAAAGAAATTGTGGTATATATATACAATGGAATATTACTCAGCCACAAGAAGAATGAAATCTTGCCGTTTGTGACAACATAGATGGACCTTGAGGGCATTATGCTAAGTGAAACAAGTGGGGCAGAGAAAGACAAATACATATGATCTCTCTTATATGTGGAATCTAAAAAAAGAAAAAAACAAACCAAGCTCACAGATAGAGAACAGATTGGTATTTGTTAGAGGCAGGGGGTGGGGAGGGTGGAGGGTAGAAAAATGAGTGAACTTTTATTTATTTTATTAGTTTAAATTAAAAAAAATGAAAAAATACTAATAAGAAGTGGTGGTCACCCAAACTGTGAGAGTTGTAATGGGATTGGTGAGAAGTAGCTGGCCTCTAGAGAGATCGAGCAGGTGAGATCTAGGGGACAGTAATGATTAAATCTATGTGGATGGTAGAGGAAAAGGAAAGTGAGGATTGTTATCTAGTGTTCTGAACTGAAATATAAGGTCAACAGTGATAGTCTTCAAAGATAGGAAACAACTGAATATGTAAAACAAGCTGGAATAGAGTGTGAGTAGGAAGGAAGGTCAGAGCTTGGACAAACTTCACTCTGAGGCACAAGTGGTCTGTTCAAGGGAAGTACCCTAGCAGCTTAACAAACACAGGTCTAGAATTCAAGGGAGAAATCTCAGCTAGAAATAGACATTTGGGACTCATCAGCATGAGATCGTCACTGAAGCCATTCCCTGGAGAGAATGCAGGGTGAGAAAGAAGGAGAATTAGACTTCTGAGGATTAGCAACATTTAAGGGCTTGGCTAAGGGGAAAAAAAAGAAAATCCTATTGGTTCTACCTTCCCAATGTATGCAGAACCTAGCTACTTCCTGTTTTCTCCCCATTTCCACTCTGATCTAAGCTGACATAACTCCCACCTGCATCGTGGGAACCGTCTTCTGACTGGCTTCCCCCACCCCACACTGCTCCCACCTTGCCATTGGGCTGTAGGCCCTGTCACTCTTCTCCTCAGAAACCACTCCTGGCTCCATACTCAGAGTGGAAGATAAAGTCCTTACAATGGCTGATAAACCTCTTTATTCATGTTTCTCAAACTATCTATAGTGAAGAAGCAGTTTATTTACTTATTTATGCATTTTCTTATACATCAGGAACCAAGATAAGTCTACAATGGCACGTTTGGATATCGTGGCCAAGTCAAGTTGCTCGACAGGTGTTTGAATGCTTCCTCTCAGTGTCTGCACTCCCCTCGCTACAGAACCCCCCCCCCCGAAGTACTGGCAGACCGGCTGGCCCTGTACTGGCCACCCTGAGCCCCGCTCTGCACGACCACAGGACGTGGCTGCTCCTCACCTCCCCCCACCCGTCCATCTCACCTCCCACCGCTCTCCCCACACGCACGCCTCTGCTCTCCCTGCATGTGGTCAGAACGCTCACGTCTCAGGGCATTTAGACCTGCTGCTTCCTCTTTTTTTTCAGTTGTTCATATTTAACGTGTACAACTTGATGACTTGATATATGTATGCAGTGCAAAGTAATCACCGCAATCCAGCTAATTAACATCTCCGTCATCTCACAGGGTCACCATTTTGTTTTTTTGGTGGTGAAAACTCTCAGCAAATTTCAAGTGTACTGCACATTTACCTTCTGCCATCTCCAGATCTCACGACGGCGTGGCTAGCTCCCCTTCGCCTCTTTCAAGTCTTTGCTCAGATCTTGCCTCCTCAGACCACGCTGTTTAAAGTCACCACTCTCCCTTCAGCACCCCTGGTGCTCCTTAACCTGCTCTACCTTCTCTTTCTTTCCATAGCAAGTACAAACAATATTATTTAGTTATTTATGTTTATTCTCTTATTTCTGTATCCCCTTCCTAGAAAATCAGTTCCAAGAGGGCAGAGATTTTTGTTGTTTTGTTCCCTTCTGGATCCCCAAACCTAAGCGAGCTGCTGGAATAAAAGTAGGTGCTCAGTAAACGTTTCCGAATGTCGAATCAGTGAACGCATTTCTAACCTCTGTACTTACCTTTATACCTGGAAATCCTTCTAGTCCTGGCAACCCCATTGCACCAGGTTCTCCCTGTTAAATATGAATGTAAGAAATGCAGGAGTAACAATCAAAAGATTTTTTAAACATTGGTTTCAAAAGCAAAGATATTTTCTGCCCCAAAAATACTCCCTCAAGCATTCACAGGTAATGTGGCAAGTAAGTGGTATGCTCTGTTTTCAAGCATCTGTATTATTGCATTTGGTGTTTGGAACTAGTTTGAGAATAAAGCTTTTCTCTGGAGAAGTATGAGTGTATTTTCTGATTAATCGTTTTTATTCTGATTAAGGATCTAATCAGAACGAATCCCTCTAGTCAGTGATAACTCCAATTTCAATAAGAATTGGAAAGAAAGGCTAGGCTTTAATAAGATTTGCCAATTTGTGTGGTGCCTGGGGCTGCTAGAAAACCAGAGAAAAAGGCTAAACTCTTTAAGAGTAGACGGAGATGGACTCTCAAAGCAGAGTCCATCGTCCCTCCACGCTCTGCAGCTGGAGAAGCATTGTGTGCTTCAGAGGCTGTCCCCAGGAGCAGCATCTCCAGGGGTTCTGAAAGCCACTGCTCAAGCCGATGGGTCCCTGAGAGGAGACGGGTAAGCATTTCCATTCTTAAAAATCTTGTCCATATTCTAGTGGATAGGCCCAGGCTAACCAGAACCGATAGGTCCTCAGGAACACGTTTAGAAAAGTTAGGCGCGATAGAAGCTGCTCACCTTGAACAAATAAACATTCGGGCTTCTAAAGCAAGGAGAGAAAGTGGGTAGTTGTTTGATACCTACTCGCTAATGAATTAATGTTAATATTCATGTTAACTGCAAAAATTTTCTTAGGATACTGGATGCTTTCAACATCATCACATAGAAAAGGGAGCTTCCAAATTTCATCAGCAAATATATTTGCTGCATAATTCTAATCTGCTTCAAAAATATTATCAACACTCTAACTTCCATTGTTATTTATGATATTGTCCTTATTACAGAATACAGAATAAAACATATGACTTGATACTTTTTATGCTTCAGAAATCTTTTTTAAATGTCCACTAATATGTAACCTGTCAATCGTAAAAAAAAAAGATGTTCAGATTCTATTCTGCGCAAAGCTCTATAAAAGAGATTCTGGGTTATTGACAAAGGAAATAAGCTCTTTGATTTTCTTTGTTTACATTCTCAACAATCCTTAGGACAGAGGAATGTGCTCAACCAACCAATCAATATTTGTTTAAAAGTAGCTAATAATTAAATATTTAATTGAAAGCCACTTATAAATTGAATACCAAAGGAATGAAATGGAGCACCTCAGAAGATAGTAAATTCAATTAAGGGTAATTTCATCTAAAAAGGTTTACTGAGCAGATTAGAAACATCTGCACAGATCTTGCGTCATAGGAGTTGGAGGATACTGGAAGAGTAAACTTTCCTCAGCCACCTCACCATGACTTTCCCATTGTCTACTCTGTGACCTATAATACTACCATCCTGGCTTATTTCTATGGTATGAGGCATTATTTCTCCATACTGGGAAAATGGTGGGAAATGGAGTTGCATGGTGGTGCTGACATAGAGCCCAAAAGAATAATTTCAAAGTTTTATCTAAGATAAACCTGAAGGTTTACACAGTGTCTAATTTCATGATTCCACATTTCTGGTTTGTGCTTCATCCACTTAATTCACATCTCTAAAATCAAGAAACATCCTTCAATTAGTTTTTTTTTTTTATATAATTTTATTTATTTATTTTTCCCCCAAAGCCCCAGTAGATAGTTGTATGTCATAGTTGCACATCCTTCTAGTTGCTGTATGTGGGACGTGGCCTCAGCATGGCCGGAGAAGCGGTGTGTCAGTGCGCGCCCAGGATCCGAACCTGGGGCCGCGAGTAGCAGAGCGCGCACACTTAACCGCTAAGCCACGGGGCTGGCCCCTTCAATTAGTTTTTATTCTTTATGTTTTGTTGCAGCTGAGAAATTTGAAGCCTAATCTCTTCAAATTCAACTCAAATCTGTCTACATTTTTGTTGTCATTCACTTTCCAGTCCAAGTGAATCATGATTTATCCTTTACTAGAATGCTTTTTAAAAAAGCTTCCTCATCTTAATCTGCAGTTATTAATGAAAACACTTGAACGTTCCAGAAAGTCAGTGAGAAGTCCGGGTGCCCTTACGTGACTCAGGCGGGATGTGTTGTTTGTGTGAGTGTTAGCAGGAAAGACCAGGAGGAAACTTTATCAACAAGAGGAAAGCAGACTGAAATTAAAATGAAGGCTATTGTTGGTGAGAGCGTAAAACAGTTACAGATAAAGAAAGGGTGGCATGTGTAACAAGACAAAGGACACCTCTGAGTGACATATTTGGGGTTTGGAAAGTGCTATTAGTGGGTTGACATCATGCTTTTGGGGGAAAACAAATTGGCTTTTAATATATGTTGCTCAATAACAAAAAAATAAGCTCTTTAGTGCATCTACTTTGAAAATATATTTAGATGTAAAAGATTACTTTTTAGGGCTTTAGAGTTCTTTTGCTCACTTAAAATTTATTCATCTAGTTTTGCCAAACTGTACTGTCATGAAAGGGCCTTAAATTTTTTCGCATGGCAATGGAAAGTGGTGTGAAAGTTTATTTCAGTTTCAGGTACATATGAGTTTTAAGTATACACGCAAAGGTTAAAAGGATATAAAGATGAAATATGAAGGATCGAACATATGCTTGACAAGGACATGACAGGAAAAACTGCCAAGGAAAAAAGGGAATCTAATTGAATTTGGCAGAATTTTTACAGTGAACCTGCACGGGTGAAAGGATGCTTGAGAACAATCATCACCACTTGGGTGGCTGGAGGACAGGATGTCTCTCCGTGCTGTGTTAACCTCCTGATGCATTACTCCTAATCAGCAGGTTTATGACAGCACACCACATCTCCCACAGAATAATTGCCTAAGACACTGAAAGCAAATAAACAGGCCCTTTCTTCTTTTATAGGGGTGATGGCAGACATGTTAAGGAATTTCTTTCCGGTGAGTATTTCTCTTCCACAATCTACTTAACACTGAATCAATCATCAAAATAGTCCTATTAGAAGAAAGTGTCCCATTATTCAGGAGCTTTTCATGTGCCTTCCTCCGTCACAGGGTGATTTTTAAGACACACCGATGAAAAGAGACGCACGTCAAGGGCAGTGACAACATTAGGACTGATGCATCTTGAAAACGAAGAGCATGCTGCTCGCATGTCTTGGGTGGCCTGCCTGCCACCTTCAGCATGTTAACTGACAAACATCTAAGAAGGCAGAGTGTCTTTGCCTGATGCTCTTCTTTCAAACTTTAATCAAGACATTTTTTAAAAGACACAAAATATGGGAATGTACATACCACTGGGCCAGGATCGCCTTTTGGGCCCTATAAGAAAACCATGGGAAGTCATTTTAAAAATAACGATTGAAGAAAAACTACAGAATAAGAAACATTTTTGTCCAATTTGCCTTAATACATACAAAAATATTTGCAAGTGTTGTTTTGCTACATTTGGATTTGGAGAATAAGACGAAGAAACAGAATTTGGTGGAACTCCCATGACAGTGATTGCTCGGACACTGAGTGAGTTCTTAGATTTACAATGCTAAAAGTGACACCACTATGCAGAATGCTATTCTTCATTATTTGGCTGTGTACATTTTCTCAATTTTATTATAATTGGTTTCATTTATTTCCTCATGCATAAAATTTTGGTTATACTTGTAACGTGCAATTTTCAGTGTTCTTAGGAGGCTTTTTTTTGTGTGTGTGTGTGTGTGTGTGTGTGTGTGGCTGTTCAGCTAAAGTATGAAAATATGCCCAGTGATAAAAAGTGTACTCACAGTGGGGCCGGGTGGCCCTGGATAACTGGGAACATTCACACCTCCCTTCAAAAAAAAGAAAACAGGTGAGAAGAATTTATAGTCATACATAACTGGAAAATTATTTTACGTAATTATAGAAGTAAATACCTGGATTTTATATAAACTGCTCATTCCGTTTCCTTCACTGAATGGCACACCCTTAGAACAGAAATGAGGTGTAGAATTATTCCTTTAAGTTAATAGTTAGCATTTTTACCTTTTATCTTTTTACCAAATGATATTTTTCCTATTCTATGTTAGAAAGTGGGTTTAATATTATAAGTAAAATAATACAATGTTTCCATTTTTAGCTTCTCAAAAGCAAATGTAGAGGAAAAAATGAAAAGGAGTGTGAGCTACACCTGGACGCACAGACGTTCTCAGTGGACTTGATTAATGTCCGGGTTTGAGAGATGAGACACTAATGCATTCAGGGGAAAATATTATTTGCTCATTAAAATTCGGCTTCTGAATTGCCAATTTATGCTAACTGTTTACAGCCCGCTGACCTGCAGGCTACAACGTGGCAGTGCTGATGAAGATGTGAATGGGGAACAATTTTTTCCCAGTCTCTTCATACTAAATAGAAAATCAGAGTAAATAGAGGAGATGGTGTTACTTACAACCTGTGTGGATATTTCTACAAAAACATATTCTTTAGAACAACAGGGAACAAGAACTTCCTAATAAAATTGACCTGTGGATGGAAAGTCCCAGAGTAGCTAACACTTAAAGAGAACTCATTGGAGAGTATTTAAAAATCACACATTTTGGCATGCAGGAAAAATTTGCATATGAAAATTTTAGTTAGAATCTTTTATTCTTCTTTTAAAAACTTCCCATAGAATCAATAATCTGCATTTTCCTTCTTGTGATTTCCACGTTTCAGCTGCAAAATTGACGGAGCCATCATTTCACTGCTTTTGGACAATGGCGGCCAGCGGTGCTCAGTGAACATGATCTGCACGCATCTTCAAAACACTAGTGATGGAGGGAAAACACTCCATTCATTGACCCTTTTGTTGTTCCACTCGCTCATCTGACGATTGCTGAATGTCTGCTATATTTGAGTGTGCTGGGTCCTGGAGAGATGAAGGATGCTTTTGTCCGAGATTTCCAGGGGAGGTTTCCCAGACAAGACAACATTTAATCTGTCTTGAAGAATACATAGTTTTTGGAGAATTCAGGAGGAAGAGGAAGATTCCTTAATTCCATTGTAAAATACAGGTCCCTTTCGTGAGCTCATGTTATATTTTGCTGTTCTGTCAGCTGGGGAGGGAGTGCATTTTAGGATTTGAGTCCCAAATGCTTTCTGCCCTGCTTCCTTGTCAAGGGAGAAGGTGAGTAAACAAAATGAAGAACAGGTTTAGGAAAACAGAGTGCAAATCTTTTCGTTTATGTGTGCAAAACATGCGATGCACACAGACTAATCACGTATCTTTGCTGTCTTTAGAAAGTCAGACAAATTCTGTCCCTTCTTGCTTGAGTTTGGCTTCTTCAACTGTTCCTATGAGGCAGAGTGGAAGAGAACATTTGGCCTGGATGGAAGCTCTGCTGCGATTTGAGTGTGGCCCCACATGAGGGCAGACTTGCCACGGAGAGATGGAGCTCTCTTCTCCACAGCCTCCCAAAGTGCACGTCTCAACTGTGAGCATGAAAACATCCATGGCTCTTATACGTTTTATTCACTGGTGCTACAGAAATAGAATCTCCTTGCTTCTCAGACATCATGGATGGTAATGAACACATACAGCATAATACCATATTTTGTACTAACTCCCAGTGCCGGAAGGGATCACTTTCTAAAACCTCTCTCTTTTCTGTGAATGAGGCTCATTGAGGTTAAATGCCTTTCCCAGGGTCCCCCAGGGAGGAAGTGGCGGTGGGCGGATAACAAACCCAGGTGTCCTGAGTCCACAGTAGGGGGGCCACAGTATACTCAGATGTGCACATCAAAGCTGAGCTAAAGGGGAGAAATCAGGCCTCCCCAAAGCTCCCTTGGTTGTCAATCATACTTACACATAAAACGCAGATGACTTATCTTTAAGAACATCTAGATGTAGTCTGACCTCTGAATTATAAAGGTCTCAAGGAGACATCTGAATTTAAGTTCTAAACCTGAAACAACTCACAGGCGGTCCAGGTGGTCCAGGTCTCCCAGGGGGTCCCTCGCTGCCCTGCAAGGGATATACAGACCAAAATCAATGGCTTAGACATTTCCGCCCCAGGTTTGTGGACCAGAGTGTGCTTGCTCAAGAGTGTGTTCTAAAATCAATATGACCTGTCGTTTTGTTTCGGCCTTGCAAAGTCTTACGAAGCTTGGCTTTGTCTTAACCTGGGGAAATACATTTCTAGACCACAGGAAGGGTAAACGCCTTTTCTCGTGCCCATTCAGATTCTCACTGTGTGAGCCCAGGGATGAAGCTTATTTCTAGATGGAGCCAGGCAACCCATGTGATCATGTCCTGGACTTCAAGTGCAGCTGGAGGACTCTCCCCAAGGGGGGTGCAGACCAGAGTCTCTGCAAGCCGGGGGCAGGCTCTGGGACACGGCTCTCCAGGTCAGCACCTCACTGCTTGCCTCACCTCCACCATTTCATTTTCTGAGAACCAGAGGGGCCACCCACACAACTTGATCAGAGTATAAAATCACACCCTGTGTGGTGTCTGCAGGAGGAGAGACTTCTTTCACTTCCTAAGTTAATACTAGACTTTATAGTCCAGTCAGGCACGTCTGCTGGACAGAAGGGATGGTGGGTCAACACTGTTTAAGGGAAATGTTCTACACACAATTGAAACAGCCTCAGACGTTCTGCTGACAGGAGAGGCAGACTGAAAATGGAATTTGTGAAAAATGAATTCAAATTGAAACTTGACAAATGGATTTCACTTTTATTTTTGTAAAACACAGACAGCTTATTGGTCCACAGTAAGCGGAAGGGCTATAGTCCCCTTGGTGCCTTGACCAGTTCTCTCTGTAACTGCTTTTCGTTTAGAATAAGAGCCTCATAAAACCTTCTAAGTCCCTCAATATCGGGGGCAATGGCAAGAAATGGTTAGCTAAAAAAGAATCCAGAGAGAGTAAAATTCCTACTTACAATGACCAAGAATTTCAAGAGATTTCAGTCCATTTCCATAAATTCGATGAAAGATTTCATTCCAATCTCCCCATTTTTTCAGTAATAAAAGAAAGTACCAAAACACCTTTTGTTTATATCTTTATCAATAAAAATAAACTGTAAAGTTTTTCTTGCAATGTATCTGCCTGAGAATGAGTGACAACGAGTGTATTGTATCTTTTCGTGAAGTACTTTGATGGTGGCTCTCTCTCTAAGACATGTCACATTCTGTTGACTGTTGGCATGTCCCTCAGAGAATTATGTCACAGTTCTCACGAACTATGAGAGGACAACAAACAAGGAAAAATGTGTGCCCACTGAAAAGACATTTTTTTCCTGGTACAATTAAACGTCATATTTTCACCCTTGCTTGTGCCCCAAAGCTCATCTCAGTGTGGAATTCCCATTAACTTCAAAAGGCAAATCTCTGAGTGAATAATTTCCATACAGAACAGAGAAAAAAGGCTGGTGGGGTTGGGCAAGCTCCTTGGGACACCATCAGAGAAAAATGTGCTGAGACTATCCAGAATAAGCACATTGTTTCCTTTCAGAGTTTTTGAGATTCCTCCACTCCTTGATGCCATGACGCCCCACTCTGATCAGCTCTGAGTGGAAGCTGCTCGAGTGGCTCACGTGGACTCTGGATTCTTATTTCTGTAATCTGAATAGCTAGTTTTATTTCACTCATTTGCTGCCTCTGTCTGGACTCACATCGTGGGCCAATCTAGATCCTACACCGGGTAAACATGTGGAGCCCTGTGGTCTTCCTGTTTGAGACCCCTCTGCTGCTGGTCATCCCTTCTGACCACAGCAACCCATCTGCCCAATCAACTGGACTCCCTAGGAAACAAGTTATCCTGGTTCCTTAGGGAATTTCCCCTATGGCCCTCAAAGAACAGAACTTCCAGATTTTCTCAGTTATGGAATCCTGGTCCTGGTAGCCAGCATGCTGTCTGGAGCCTTGGCACCTGTGGCCGGAACTTCCCGCCACCTTACCTGCACCTGTTCAGGAGGCCTCCCCCACCCCATCCTTCCACAGAGCTAGATGTCAAGGACCCTGGATCCAGTTTGGACGACTTCTTTATGGCACCAGTGTTCTAGTCATCCTTCTCTTCCTATATTCAGACCAATTTCTGGACATATGTCCTTCCAAGCCCACCACCAGAATAGCCATTCCCGGACATCATTCCTACTTTCAGGAATTTTGATTTTAGGGATCTCTCTGCAAATGGTCTCACCCTGCCCCTACCCCAAGCCCAAATTTGGACAGTAAGTGAGGCTTTTCCTCTGCACCTTTTCACCCTTCGCTCCTGTGGGACCGGGATGCCCAGTTCTTCCCAACAAGCCCTGTAAAACACAAAACGAAGTTTGTTATGGAAACAACAACTAAATGGCCACAGGGTGTTGGAAGTTGGTTACTAAAACTGATACAGTTTGAAGGTCATTTGATCCTAATTAAATCAGTCCTACAAGCTTATATTTCTTCAGGCTGATACAGCAGCTGTATCCTGCTGATAAGCCCTTGGAAGGGTAAAATTTGTATTTGTGGTCGCGTTTTCACCTTGGCCAACCACATTTAATGACCTTAATTAGAACCTTTTGATACATTTAAGAATTTAGCCTTGCTGTTTAAATGGCAATTTACATAATATTATGCCTTTCTAAATGAGCTATAATTCTGGTAGCGATCAACTTTTTAAATACTTCAAGACACGGCAGAATTAACAATGCGCCTATTGAGTTATGCACTCTGCATTTTACCAATGGAAAATAAAATTCAATTTTAATTCTTCTTTGAGAATAGAGTTAGCTATAAAATTTTCACGGTTCCTTTCACAACTCTTCCTCTTAACTTTTAATTTTAGTGTAGAATTTAACGCCAGGTTTGTTTTACCTAAGTGTGGTAAAAGCATAAATGGTAAAATTTTAATTACGGCAAATCTATGATTCAAAACATTAGGGAACATGATTGCATTCCTCCTTGTGTGGTAAACACTATTTACATAGGAACTCTAAGCAGGGAAGTGTTCGAGAAGGTGAGACTTGAGTCGAGCTGCTAGATTTAGCAAACAAAAATACAATATTGGGGACACACTTATGCTAAAAAATTATTTATTTATATGAAATTCAAATTTAACTGCATGTCCTGTATTTTAACTGGCAGCCCTAAACTTGAGCTCCACTTTAATGAGAGATTGGGTTTAGCAGTTGGGAAGAAAAAAAGATTCTGTTTTAGGAAAACAGGATAACCAAAACAACAACCAAGACGTCGTGTTTGTGGGACAGTGAAAAAAACGTGCTGACTAAAGTAGAGGGCATTTTAATTCATAATAGGAACAAAAACAAATGGAATCTGATAATCCTTGACCCATTTTCTCCCTCTGGAAATAAATTCTTAGTTTATGGTGGCTAGAATGTAAGGGTGTAACCATCTGAATATCGTCCAAAGGTTAGTGCCAAAAAATTTTAACTAAAAAATAGAATGCTCTTTTACATCCAATCTCTGTTCAAATAGACTAGCTTAATTACAGACTGCTTTCTGGACCAGTAGAATTTTGATGACGTCTCCACGGCCCTGAGCAGCCTTCAGTAATACTGAGTGAAAATCTGAGGTGTGGGATGTTACTTTTCCAGGCAACAGCTGGATCATCTCCACAGAGGCACAGAGAGCTGAAGGCAATGAGGAACATCAGTTCACCTTGCATCCTCCCAGCAGATATGAACTGTGAGTGGAACAGCTTTAGCAAATACTTACAGGGGGTCCAGTTGGGCCAGGAGCACCTGTAATGCCTGGAATTCCTTGAAGACCCTAGAAGAGATAGTTCTACCATAAAATCTGTTATATCATTGGAAACAAGGCATTTTAGTTAATCAAATATTTTGACTATTGCAAGTTAAACATCTATATTAGCTAATCAAGGAACATGATATATGTCATATACAAATACCCATTTTAAAGGACAGTGAGATAAAATACATGGAATCTGTAACACAATTGAACGTGTTTGGTGGTTCACAGAGCATTTCTGATCTCACAGAGCCACCCCATCAACAACAGCATCATTGAGAATCTGCACTGCTAAAGCATGGAAATACAACTTCAGACTGGCAGAGTGCCATCAAAGAAATATATGATTACACCGTTTCATTCAGCTGGTGGAAAAATGGAATATGTTTCATGATATAATATTTAGTTTAGCTGGCTGGTTCCTTATAAGAAGAAATTTGGCCCATGGCGAATTTAAATTTAGAACCCTTTAGTGGCTTAAACATAAAAGTGAATGGCTATCCCCTCCCTCTCCTCCTTGGATTTGTAGAATAACGCTAACTATACTGATAGGATTTAAGATGCTGATACATTTATATATTCAAGGAAGAACTGGCAAGATTAACTGGCAACTTGTGTGATTAATTTTGTTCCTTTACCAAGTGTGTCAACAACAAAATATTAGTTAAATAAGTAACATAAAATCCATAATATGAAATATTTTGCAATGATTAAAATCACGTTTCAGCAAACTATTAGAAAACATGGAAAAATAAAAGTTACAAAAGGTTACATAGAATAAGGTCCAAAGTATTAAAAAATTATAACTGCACTTCATAAAAGATGAGAATTATAGAGGTTCATAGTGTCTTATCTGGAAAGTTTAGTGTCATATGTGTTTCAGAATTCTGAGTTCTTTGATTCTTTATAAAGGTAACACAGTGCCCATGCTGGATATTATGTAACACGCCCAGTGGCACCCGAGGCAGCACCCTCTAAAAAAACACAAATATTTCCGTAGCAAATGTATGATATTCTCACTGAGTGGGATAAATAGACCATATGAGTTCAGGTCAGATTTTGCTGCTAAAGGAATCTGCTGCAAACTTGGAGAAAACTTCCAGGGTTTTCAGAGGCTTTTGAATTTTGGAATTGTGCATGAGGGATTGTGGACCATAATATTAGTAACAACAGTCCTCCCTGAACAGTGCAAATAGGGATAACCTTAATCTTTTTGGTGCTTTTGTGTATTTCCTAGATTTTCTATAATGAACTCAGATGACTTCTATAACCAGAAAAATATACTTTTAAATACTCTTTTGTTATTTTAGATAACCATATGACATTTCAAATTCCACACTGAATGGTTCCACTCTTTCAGGATTTAATTTTCTTTACTGAGTAATCTTTTTATATTGCCAAACCATTCATTGTTATAATAACTTTCCTTTACCTTTACTGTGATGAAATATGCATTTTTATACACATTATAAATATTAGCTGACGTGACCATGGTAAAATTACTGCATACTTATTTGTGAGACTTCTACAGGACCAAGGTTCTTTGCATCAATGGGATCAAGGACTAAGCTCTGCCAGGCCTTTCTGTCTAATGCCAAATGGGATTGATCATCTGTTACTTCAGGTTTTTTCATGTAATATGATGTGAAGAAACGCTGAAAAGAATCTCCTTGAACAGGCTGAAATTCCTCATGCAAGAAGGGTCTTGGGTAAAGTCTTATGCATGCTTGTGTTAAAGAATGTGGGCATGTTCCTTCCTCAAGATGACACCATCCCCACTGACAGTGCTGTGGTGTGAGTGTGTGTGTGTGTGTGTGCATGCATGTGCACGTGTGGGAGGTGCGCATTACCATGTTGTATTGGCTCTTTTTATTCCCCCACCATTAACTTGTTTACAGGGTTATAAGTGTAAAGGAAACAAATTTCCTTTGGGAATGGCACCTCTAGATGACTGGAGATTATAAATGCTATACCACAAATTGCTTTACTTCAAAATACCCACATTTCCATAAAATTCTCTCTATATGTACAGGTATAAGATATGTGTGTCCATATATACTTTTTTTTGCTACTTTTAGTCTGAACACTGAATCAGTCTAGAGATGCTGAGTGAGTCTTTAGGTAGTCTAATTTATAAGCTTGGGACTCATTAACCTTTGATGACCACATTAAACTTTAAAATAAACCTCAGTCCAAAAATTAAAAAAAAAATCACTCTCAGCAGTCTTGCTCTGAACAAGCTGAAATTTTGTAGTAAGGGTAAAAGTTACTATGGATGCATAAAGGGCAGTAAGATAATTTTAGGAGACAAGATGTCATTAAAGGAGACAAATACATATTAAAGAGGAGGATAGTCAATTCAGCATATAGTGCCAAACTGAAACACAAATTAAAATTTATTGTGTAGATATTTGGAGATCATTAGAGCTAAGTTCTCTCCCTGGCCTGATATTTTGATTTTGCACGTTCTAGCTCAGTTGTTACCAAGAATATTTACTTTCCATTGCTATAGCCTACGGCTGACAACATTCTTCATGTCCTATTGCTCAATCATTATCCTGGAACATTGCAGGAAGGCCTGCACTCCAAGCAGGAATTCACTCTGACTTTGGGAGGGGTCTGGGTTCCAGCAGCATCTGACAAGTCTCTACCTTGACTTGTGAAACATCTGCAAAAACTGTGGAGGATAACGTCACGTTTCTAAGAGCAATGAGCAACAGGCAGGTCCTCTCTGTGTGTTCCCAAACGGATTAAATTGAGGACATAATAGACAGAAGTCCTCAGAGAGATGGGTGCTCCTCTGTATCTTTTTTAGTAAGAACAGACGTTTGAGATTTTGTACAATTAGATATCATGTACATATTAAAATAGTATAGTTGACTGGCCAGCTGGAAATGCCTATGTTCTTTGTGAAGGTTTCGTTTGCTTAAACAAATCAAGAAACTATAATATCAGGTGGTACCTGAGTCCAGGTAGCAGACAAGACGATACCCACTGCTTGCCCCTGTCTGAGAGGGAGAAGCTGCAGCAGCCCATCCCCCCCAAAAGGCCAACTGAGCTAGTAGGTTCTTCAGGTTTATTCATATTATCCATGTGATACGAAGAAAAAACTGAAGAATCTGCTTCTGAACTTGCTGGAATTCCCCATATAATAAGAGTTCTCCGCAAAATTTTGTGTACGCTGTGTTAAAGAATCTGTGCTTAAGAAAGAGCACACTAATATAGTGAAGGAATAATAATGGTGGACTGCAGTTCACCAAGAGAGCAAAGCATCCTGTAGAATCAATAGAAATTAACTTCTAATAAATTTAACTTGGAGTCACTTATAAAAAACCTGAACTCCAATTACTTCCTTATTTTTCGTTATTACCTTCTCGATTACTTCTAAAGCCTACCTCTTGAATCCAGGCAGTTAAAAGCTGTTAGACTATTAAAATCAGATATTGTGCTTGTACTTTAGTGAAACTTGCTGTGGAGAGTGAAGAATCAAAATCTCAATAACTCTTATTTATTTTGAAAATAAAACACCTTTACTGTTTTATTTATGGATGAAAATAACTGTTACATTTCTTTGCTCTTCAATTTTTAACTTGGAAAGAAAACAAGCCAATCTTCATAGTTTTCTAGAACAGAATCAATAGTAATTAAAAACAATAACACATGACAATAATTTATAATGTGAAATACAATTCCAACTCAAAAAATTTTTCCTTGATACCTTTATGATTTTCTGCACTAACATAAAAGTTAATATATGCCAGATGGCTTACTTAACGTTCATTAAGAATTATTAGTGCCAAAACTGTTTAAACTAACAGCAATTCATCATCCTAATTGGTTTTTCTAAGAGTTAATGTGAATTATGCAGGAAAAGAATGATACCCTGAGCATCAGCATGGCTTAGAGTCAGAAAATTATACCATCATCCCAAAAGCATATTTGATTTTGGACCTCAATCCACGGATAGGCAGCTGATCTAAGCTAGTCCAATCAGATCCTTTCAATAGTATTTTTTGTCCCAAGAGTTTGAAAGTTGAGCAGAGACACAGACAAGCCAAGGTTATTGAAGCTGAGGCATGTTACAGCAGTGTCCCAGGGAAGTTCTGCTGCCCTCATCCCTATGCTGGTTGTCCAATTATTCCATCAATTCTACTAGCTACCTTGGGAATCTTTCAGTAAATCTCTCCTCCCTTCACTCCCTTGCTTTTATTTATTTATTTATTTATTTTTGGTGAGGAAGAGTGGCCCTGAGCTAACATCTGTTGCCAATCCTCTTCTTTTTGCTTGAGGAAGATTGTTGCTGAGCTAACATCTGTGCCAATCTTCCGTTACTTTTATATATAGGACCCCGCCACAGCATGGCTTGATAAGTGGTGCATAGGTCCGTGCCTGGGATCCAAAACTGTGAACCCCGGGCAACCAAAGTGGAGCGTGCAAACTTAACCACTACACCACCAGGCTGGCCCTCCCTCCCCTTGCTTTTATCACGAGAGAGTTGGAACTGCTACCTGCTACATGAAAACAGAAACTCAGTAACTGACGTGTTAACTTTGTCTCAAAAGTTGTCCTGTGTCCTTGTCTCAAAAACTGGACACTGACAATAAATATCAACATATTATTATTTAAAATGTGTTAATGCTTGAAAAAACCTACCTAAGTCTTTGTTTTTATGTGTTTTAGCACTAAACATGAGCTATAGAAAAATTAGTGTTCTTCCTCTGTTGAGTCACATAAAGAGAATCAATAGTAGGACAATATTATCAGAGAAGAACCTTTTACCTCGTCGCCTTTCTCCCCAGGTATCCCAGGGTAGCCTCGCTCTCCTTTGTTTCCCTAAAAAGACAATAAATTCAGCTAGTACAGTCAATCATTTTGTCATCTTTTGGAACAATGAAAATATCTCTTCTCAGGACACTTGGGGCGTGTAATTTGGACAGAGGCAGGGAACAAATAAATGACATTTGCAAATGGCTTTTACACCACTTTTCCAAAATATTTTTAGAAAAAATAGTGTATTGCAAAATGGGTTTCCTTTTTTCACACTGAAATGAAGGTTGCACAGAGGAGAGACTTCCTTACCTTTGGTCCCTCTCTGCCTGGGATTCCTGGAGGACCGCGGGGCCCCATGTCAGCCTAGAGGACAGAGCAGTAAGAACTGAGAGGAGGCACCCTGTGTGAGCGACAGGGCCCACCAGCGCTTGGCCGCCTTCTCACCTTCTGGACTACGGAGTCATACTTTCCAGGCTCGCCGGCACCTCCCTCTTCTCCTTTGTTGCTTTTCAGCCCGGGGACACTGGCTGGGCAGTTGCCACAGAAGTTCTAAAGAGTATAAAGATACGGTTCCTGAGAGATTCATTGAAGGCTCTATAAAGTGAGGTTTGACCAGATCTGAGCTTCCACTAGAACCTTTGTCAGAGATGAGCGATATAGCAACTGCCATGTCCCTCTATTTCAGAAACTTGATTTACCCAATTTGAAGAGACTACTTTTCATGAAGTGAAAACTATTTATGAAGCTGATCAATGATACTTGTTTATGATATTGGTGAGCTTCAATTTAAAAAAACATGTCTATGATGATATTCAAATTGAAAATTCCAGACACATAAAGAAAAGACACATCAGTCAAGAACACAGACTGAGTCTCAGTTGCTAAGCAGCATGTTTCAAAAGGGAGGTGGTGATAAAGTCTGGAACAACCAGAAAGATCACAGAGTTCATACAGCCAAGAGCACAAATCATTAAAAAAGAAAGAAAAAGCTGTGAAGGAAGGATTTCTCCTTTTGAGAGCAGAATTAGCTGGAGAGCCCTACATACAGTTCCTTACATTTTGTCTGTCAGTGGAAGCATGCACACGAGAAGAAATTACTTCAGTGACTTGGCCTGACTTCTATGTCAAATCCAAGTGCAGAGAAAACCTAAGTGCAATTACCTTTCCATTGCTGTCTCTGTAACCTTTAGTTGATCTGCAAAGGCTTGAATTTAAGTGTCTGAGCTCACAAGATAAACTTCTTATCACATAGATAAAGAAGCGTCTGTGAAAAGCCCTATAAAGGCTTACTTTTAAATAAATTGTTATAATAAGAATACGATCAGGAAAAGCAGAGACGAGGAAGCACGGAGTCGGGGAGACAGTTTAATTTGAACAGTTGACAGAAGGTAGGACAGTAGAAGCCTCTATTCGTCCATCCTTTTCACCAAAGGGAAGACTCTTTAAACAGGAAAAGAGAACTGACGCTGGCTATTGATGAGAAGTGGGTAAGAAAGCCTGTGGCTATTCGAGTTCAGTACTTTTTACCCAGTGAATATCAGCATAAGTCTGATTTCCAAAAATGCTCATTGGAAGACTAATTTTGCATGATACTGAAAAGGTTCTGAGGCAATTTGTCTAAACAGAGCTCTCTTCACAGTGGTCCTTCTTAGAGCTGGAGTACATAAAAGGGAGCTTGGGTGTGCATGTTTCACAAACCATTTTTACCACCAGGATCATTTCACAGAGTTAAAGTTTTGGTAGGAGACTTAAAAAAAAAAGATATAATTGTAGAACCACCACTTATAATATCTGAAAGACTGCGAAGACAAATCCTGAGGACTTAAGAGAACCAAATAGGTTTCCATATGTCAAAAAGTATGAAGAAGATGAATTATTGTTTTTGTAGACATATAAACATGACATATCAATATGGAACAAAACCTTGGCACACCAATATACAGCAACATTTTAGAATGGATTATTCAATTGATTGTTTTAATAAAACATTAAAAATGGTAATCATTATGAGTCAAGAGAATGTTCTAAGAGCCATTTCAAACTGATCTCATTTTCTTTTGGTTAGGGTTACCAGGATGGTAAATTAAGGGAAGCCAGACTTCATTAAACTTCTTGAAAAAAACGTCTTAAGATTTTCTTATGGAGAGAATAAATATGCATCAATTATTAGCCAATGCACAATCTGATTCAGAGAGGGGTTGATACACAAATTAACCTACAGGAAAGTTTGTGAAGGGATATCATTTGGGCCTGGAATTACGTCAGCTCTTTTCAACACTTTAATCAAAGATATTTTTGAAAACAGAAAGCAGGATGATCAAGTTTGCTAAAGACTCAAGACAGAGAGAGAGTTAATATGTTGGGTAACAGGATCAGGATTTAAAATTACATTATCAGGCTGGTCTAGTAGATCCAATCCCCAATCTACATTCCTGCATTTAGATTTTGCTTCTAAACTACATGCTTCCCCCTTCTTTTGAATACAGGATGTTGGGGCATCCTGCCCACCTCTCGCCAGTCGGTTCTCCTGGGACTTAGAACCTCGGTGAGACGATGCTGGGCCTGGAACAAGGGCTGAGTGCATTCATTAGAGAGATGCTGCCCTGGTGAAACTATCAATTACTCCCACTCCTGAGACCCCTGGAGCCCTGGTTCCTCTCCATCAGAGCCTCTTCACGGTCTTTTTGTGGTTCTGTGAGCCACTGATATCGTATCAGGATTCACTTCTGCTTAAGTGTATAAATTTTTGATCCTTAGAGTAAAGAACCCATTTCATTCTGGAATGAAATAACTCCTACAATCCTGCCATTTCCAACTCTACTGCCCTTGTAAAGAACCTAAGACTTAATGTCTGAGGACCTGTGTTTCTGCATCAGTGTTACACTTACTAGCTGTGTGACTCTGAGCAAGTTACTTAACTGCTCAGAACTTTCGTCTCTCATCTGTAGAATGGGGTGCCACCACAGCCTAAAGTCACAGAATCATTGTGAGGATTAAGTGAGATGATGTAAGTAAAGCAGAACATTGCCCTGCATGTAATTGTAACTCAAATCTGAGATCTTCCTGAAACCCCTGTAAATATTCTTTTATGACATATAAGAAAATGTTGGCTTTTGAAGGTCTTAAAAACTCCTCTAATATATTTTATTTTTATATTCATGTTTACATTTATATATTTATTCTCAAAACTTTAATCACCTAACAAATACATATATCAGAATTGTTGAGTCTTTTGAATTCAGTTCAGCAAATATTCCTGCCTGCCTACTATTACGCGAGTCATTGTGCAAACCATTGGGCTAAATGCTAGGAATGTAAAATAAATCACACACACACATATAGCCAGAGGAGTGTGTGTGTGTGTGCATACCCATATATTATCCATTCACAGACAGACAAGACACACAAAGTTTGAGTACAAAGTAAACGGGCAGACTTTTACTTGGGTTCACTCAATCATAGCATACCATCAAGAAACATGCAAATACATAACCTTAGATGTACCATTATTATCCTCCCCTATCTGTTTTACAATAAAATATAGAGAAATATTAGAGAAATAAAATGGTAGCAAGATTAATTCCCTTTGAGATGGATAATAGGGAAAGATAATGTTTACTTAACAGAGTAGCAGGTGGTAGGCCAATTGTTGGCTTTGGAATTTTGTAGCTCACTTAGTAAAATTTCATGACTCAGCTTTGCAAGTTTATCAAGGAGCATGGGTTTTCATCCTGGGACTGGCCAGGACAGATATGGTGGGAAGGACTGGGTTTCACAGTGGTGAGCCAGGGGCATAAACACACATTAAGAGACAGCTGTTCCTCCGGAGGGGAGAATGACTGTCTCGAGGGTGTCAATAACTCTATTCCTTCCCTGTAGCTCATCCCAGAACTGCTGTCCCCACCCCCACCCCCCACCCCCAAAATGAGAGGAGAGGGACTAGTACAAACTGCACAAGATACATAAAGATACAGGTTCCTTTCTCCATCTTAAAGATGTTTTGTCATCTAAAAATTGAATTTTGGTTCAGGGCTAGGCAATCAACTCAATTTCTGGTAAAGATTTCCCTTCTGATTTTTCCTGGAAATTAACACATAATTTCTTACATAGCAGCAGAGTACCTTGAGCAAGGCGCCGATGTCTCCCAAGAGAGGAAGTGCAATCTGTGGTTAAGGAGAAAAACCAAATACTTGTATTTATACGTATACATGCACACAATACAATACAAGCATACAATACAGTGTAGATATTTTTCCTCAAAAGGCCAGGCCAGCTAAGATTTGTCGCGAGGCTTCTAATGGTTGGCTTAACATTACATTTCGGAATTCATAACTATTTTTGAGAAATATTCACTACTCCTCCACCATGAACACATAAACACACACATATCACTCTTTTGATTCTGCATGTCTATTTTATCTTTTCTTGACAGGGCAACCTTCATGCCAACTTTAGTACAGTATAGGTTTTAAATAATACATAAAGGTAATTCGTTTATTCGAAGCAAACCACACCTCTGCCAAGCAAATGATTGGGCTGTTGAGAAATATGAAAAGTACAGGATGAGTTTGCCTTAAAGTTATTTCTCACTGAAGTTCAGAAGAGCCTATAGGTGCCTATGTGATGGGCAAGGCAGATACTGAGGGAACCTGGGCAGTGTTTTAGCCTCATGTCTTAAAATGTCCTTTCAGAGACACTGGTGAACCCAAAGAAGGCTTTACCTACAAGGTTCCCAGACGCTGTACACATGATTCGCTCAGCGGTGGAGTGAAAGTAAGGCCAAAATATGACCCTGCACGTAGCTTATAAAGGCACAGAAGGCCTAGCCAGTGTAGGAAGTGGAAGGATTTGTGAGGGTTAGAACTGAGAGGCCAGATTTGGATTTTATTAATAATATTTGGATTTATTATTTGGACAAAATTCTTAATACAATGTCATTTACCATAAGGCCTCTCATATCATAACTGCCGATTCTGAGGCTATTTAACAAGATTTCATTGTTGTTCAAAGCAAGGTTTAAACTAAAATAAAACTTTGGAATGCACATTTAGTGCCTAAACCCATTTTTTTAAGAGCTTACTCAAGCCAGCTTTTGTAATTTAACTATGTCAGCGTTTTCAAGCCACAGAATCAATGGATATATACCATATTGCAGATACCTTACCTACAAACTTTCACTTAGAAAAATGAAATTCATTTGGTCATTAGCATGAGAAAGAATAGAAATTGTGGCTATATATTTTAACTCAATTTTCCATGAGATTGAGACATTATATACCAGTCTCAGCCTGGGGCAAAACTGTACATTGTATTATACCCTTAGGAAATAAGTATTCGTCACACACACAAAAATGCTGATGCAGCTTGAATTTTTTTCTGTCTACAAAATAATGGGGATAAACAAAATCACCAAGTAGCCACTGAGAATTCTAATTAGTTTGGACAGCAAAACTTGCTTGGTAGGCCGTTTGGCTTCTGGGTGCATTAAAGAGGCATAAATCAGGCACAGTCTGTCGACATACCGGGTCACCTGGGGGGCCTGGCAGGCCTGGCTTTCCATCCCTCCCTGGAGCTCCCTGAAAACAGAAGCATCATGCTCAAATCTTTGCACATTGGCACAGTTGCAGGTTAAAACGGGGGTGGGAGGTAGGTAAAGACGCTCCTTACATCATTCCCTGGGGTCCCTGGAGTTCCTGGCAACCCAGGGAGACCTCGAGGACCCTGGAAAAGGGGGAAAATAGTTACTTATGAGGACAGTCTTTCAGTACTTTCCTCTAAGGAGGCAAGCTGGATTTGTTGTGCCAAATAAGCTGGTGAAGCAGCTTACCTGAATACCTGGCTCTCCAGCTGGTCCTTGGGAGCCCTGAGTAGAACGAGAGTCAAGGATCAGAATTCTGGTAGGCATGTCCATAAATTATTCAAGTGGGATAAAGAGCTGAGTATGGTAATTTACTTAGTGGAACAACAGGGCTTGCCACCATGCACACTCTGAGAACTCCTTGCAAAGTTGGCCACGACTTTTGGGTGGCAGGTGAGCACTTAACAGATGCCTGTTGCTGGAAACATCACCGCGACTTTGCTCAGACACCTGGGATGTGTCTTTCATGACCATCACCTGTCCCTGTCCCTTCATGAGTGCACAAACAATGCGTCCCAATTCTATCTGCTCGGAAACTGACCACTCGGGGTAACTGGCTCAGGGTTCCTTTCCTTTTTGCTTTCTACTTTGAGCCATTTTTCTGTTTGAAGAAATTGCCCTACCCAGTGTTCAGTGACAGGAGTAGGGAGTAAACACCCGTCAGTCATTTGTCTCTGCTTTAGAACCTTGGGAAACGAGACTGGAGGCTGATAGTGAAGCCGGTGACTCAGCTCTGTCCCCGTTACAGAACCACGGAGCCCGGAACGCGGAACATACAGTCGAGGCGGTAAGGAGCCGGTCTCTCAGCAATTGCTCCAGACTTTCCCTTTCTTACATTTTGAAATAAATGTTCATATCACTGGGATTGTCAAAGCTGTTTTCTGCTCCCTTTCTATTTATACTGTGTCCTTCAGCTATTTTTTAAAAACGTATTTGCTTCAACCTCCTTCCCTCCTCTCGTAATTTCCTCATCTGCCTTTCACTTCGTTTCGTCTCCCGTCTCTAGTGACCTTTTATATCTTGACTGACATCCTCCTTTAACTCTCACAATAACTTCATTACAGGCCAACTCCCCAAATTGACGTCATTAACATAACCATGTATTTCCTCTTCTCTTGTCCCAAAGTCTTTTATGTTTCTTCGTAGTAAATAAGAAAATTCATCTCTTATCACCATTTAGTCAACAAGTGCGTATACAGTGGTCATTGTTATCAGGCACTTTTCTAGGCTCTGTCCTTATAGCTAAGACACATCAAAAAACTGCCCATTATTTGTCTCAACCATTCAAAACACTTTCTATTCTCTCTTCTGTAAGACATCACTCAGAGATTTTGAAATCATCTCATTTAGGCATACTCCATTCATTTTAAATATTGACTCCTGGGGCCGGCCCCGTGGCTTAGCCGTTAAGTGTGCACGGTCCGCTACTGGCGGCCCGGGTTCGGATCCTGGGCGCGCATTGACGCACCGCTTCTCGGGCCATGCTGAGGCCGCATCCCACATACAGCAACTAGAAGGATGTGCAACTATGACATACAACTATCTACTGGGGCTTTGGGGAGGAAAAGGGAAACAAAAAAGGAGGAGGATTGGCAATAGATGTTAGCTCAGGGCCGGTCTTCCTCAGAAAAGAGAGGAGGATTGGCGTGAATGTTAGCTCAGGGCTGATCTTCCTCACACACACACACACACAAATAAAAAATAAATAAAATAAATAAATAAATAAATCTTTAAATATTAACTTTTTATTGTATACTAGCTAAAAACAAACACCAATATATAATCACGTGATATTAGGCATGCTTATACTCTTGTATTGCACAAACATGTGTTTGCACTTTTTAACATATAGAATAGAGGTATGAAGGGATGAATAATTGCTCTGATCCCATAGTCAGTGTGGGTGTGATCAGTGTCTGTGAGTGAACGAACAGCGAGCACCCTCTCTGCTCGGTGATGTCACCTCAGTGCCCATTAATTCTCTCCCTCTGACGAGTGTTAATGTGTATTTCCTCCTCGGACCTTTTTATTCTTTTCTCCTTATTCAAATTTGTCACTGGATTTTGTTTCACAATATTGGAATCAACAGGGTTTCAAGACTCGATGGAATGTCACTCACTGTTCGGCCAGGAATTCCTACCCCTGGAGGGCCTGTGTCACCTGGGGCCCCATGGACACCGGGCAGTCCTCTCTCACCCTGTGCAATGAGATGCTTCTATTAGTGCAAGGCTCAAGTGACACACATTTTCCAGCTACATTTTGTTAATTATTAATTATTTAAAAGTTTCTATGATCTTTTATACCTTTGGCCCACGTGGACCAGGTGCTCCAGGATTTCCATCTAATCCCTGAAAAGAAAAATGGAGGTGAATACATTTATTTTTCTAAAAAACGTTAAGAACATCTTAAAAGTCATAACTCAAAAAGTGTTTCACTGCTCTTTATCCTACTTGCATAAACCTTTTTCTGTAAAAGAATAAGGAACAGGGAATACAAATTTCACTAGGTTATAAATTTTGTATAGTTACTTTAAAATATAAGATGTTTTTATCTTTAAAATGAGGTATCTGCTATTGAGAACTATTTATCATTATTAAGTAATATAAAAGGTCAAAGGGGATGAGGAAAAAAACACATATTGACAAGCATAATGATTATTTAGATTTTCCAGATAATCCAGTTTTCTGTGTCCTGGGAATAGTCCAGGGCACAGATATTCTGCAGATGACCACCTATGGTCATACCTGCAGAGCCTCTGGAAGGGAAATTTCAGGCAGTTCTTCTGTTTTAAGATAGTGTCCTAGAAAGGTTTGTGGTTTAAAACTAGTGTATCTTACTAGTCTCCATAGATCCATAAAGAATCCATGCAGAAGATTCAGTGGGACCTAACTCTTCCAAATATGCATGTAAAATGGGGTGTGTATGTGCATTTCTTCAGAAAAGAGCCCTTTGCTTGCATCATATTTCCAAAGACATTAGATCTCTGATCTAAAGAATAAGATGAGTATTTCTTTTTCTGCAAACCTAAACTTATTCCTGTACTTGTGATCTGCAACTGAGAACACAGAGACAGTAATTTATGAACTTTCAAGGGAAAGATTAACAAAAGAGTTGGTACTTACTGGTTCCCCTGGCAGGCTTTTCCCTGGAGGACCAGCCTCACCTTTCGGACCTGGAAGCCCAGGAGGGCCTACAATCCCACCTGGATCTCCCTGAGGAAACAAGGTAAGATTCTTACTTCATGCCCAGATTCATGGTAGGAGGTGTGGAGGTAGTAGTCTGCATTGTTTTAAGTTGTCATCATAGCCAGTCTAACTTCATTCTCCCATTCATTAATTCATTCACTCATTCAACAATATTTACTGAGTGCCTAACTCATGCCAGGCACTGTTCTAGTTACCTTAAACGCACTGAGATTTTGTAGTGAGTTGCATTACTACAAGGTTAACAGTATCACAAAACATACGCACATGTATAAATATATGCACAAAAAGGGCATATCTATTCATAAAGTTCTTTAGATGATCTTTATGTTTTCTTATTTCCCAGTAATGGTGCAGTATTAATATACCATTTCCATGAGGACATCAAGAAACAGGTCCTGAAAGATTAAGAGACTTCTTAGGTCTACACCAGAGTCTAGCTGAGCCCGAAGCAGACTTTCTGAGTGCTGAGATCTTCATCTCTACTAGTTTCTCTATTAGTTCCTTTTGTCACATTGTGTTTCTATGACAGAACCAGGGCTGCCACGATGCACATCTTCAGGGGGTGCCATCCACACTGTAGTTTATGGGATTGTCTCTCCCCCATGCAGTCCTGGCAGCCTTTCACTATCCACATGCTCTTATGACCCTCTGTCTCCTCCTCCTACCACTACTTAATATATGAAAGAGTAAAATGGAAACTATACCTTTTCTCCTTTAATGCCTTGTTTTCCTGGGATACCGTGTTCTCCTGGCAATCCCTAGAAAATTCAGAATTAAAGGGAAAGAGCCATTAGAACATCTCTTATTAGAAGAACATTTCTATCTATGGGTCTTTGTCAGAAGAACAGAATTTTAACATATGAACTATATGGGGAAGGGTTGGCCTGTTAGAGAAAAGCATTAGTGTAAATATGCAGCTTGTTGTTTCAAGTGAAGTCACCTAGATATAATGGGAAAGAAACTAAATCAAAGAGAATTGAACCCAATGCCCCATCCATATTACTGACAGGAAGGGGTGGAAGGATGGTGGTTGGCAGCATCATATCATGATTCAGAAGGACAATGGGGTAAAGAGGAAAATAGGCTTTTACAATGTTCTGGCAACAGTGGCTCCTTCCCTTTTGATTTTATTCTCTTTTTTAGCTCTAGCTACTATCACTTAGTCTCACTTGTTGGGCATCCTTTGGCTCCTCCTGTGCTACCAGCATTTTCTCTCTTTTTGTAAGATCTCTCCAGGAGGTACACCTGTGGGAGCTCATTAAGTGGCTTAGAGGGAGCAACAAAAAGCTTTGCTCTATGAACTGAATGTTCAAAGTACCAAGCAGACCAAGTGCGCTGAAAGATAGACCTCTGGAGGCTCAGTCAGGGAGTTTGGAGAATAGAGCAAGAGGTCAGGGGGCTGTTCCCAAGATGACAGGGACAGGAGAGATTCTAATAGTTGTATAGAGGGTTCTCGAATCATGGCCAGACCGAGATCAGTCTCCAAGAAGCTATGGCCAAGCGTTTTTCTCGTTTGGCTCAAGTGTGGACAGACGGTGAGTCTCGGCTCCCAAGTCGTGAGACATCTAGGGAGGTTGTCCAAGAGATAGAAGGCTGGCCTGTGGGTGGCGAGAGGAGTGCATTTAAAGGGTGTGAGGGTGTGTGTGTGGGGGGCCGAGGGGGAAAAGTGAGTCCACTAAAACTAGGTTATATTGCAACCTGAGGACCTTTCTCCAATTGCATTATAGAAATATTTTCAGCCAAGAGACCTGCTCTTTTTGCAGGTTCTTTCAAGAAAGCAACAATAGAAGTTTTGAAAGTGTCTTTCTTGGATGGAGAATTGAACCAAAAGCCATGCATAAGGGAAATGCTTTCTTTCTTTCTTGATTTCCCTCATTTGTTTTGATGTTTCCAATCTCTACTGTTAGGACATCACTGCCAAGCATGTCCAAAAGGATAATTTAGTTAACTTGAGTTCCAAAGGCTGATTTGTTAGGCTAATGATATTCAAAAGGACTCCACATGAATATAGGAAAGTGCTAGCCCCCAGTGGCTCCTGACATCGGGTGTGATCAGTTTTAGTGGTAGAGACGATGCACGTCTTCGGAAAATGTAGTATAACTCAGTCATATGAACAGATGTTACATTCTTTAAAACGTCTCAGTCTGAATTTAATTTCCAAATATCAATAACACCTGTATCTACTACACATACAATATCTCCTGGTGGTCCTCTGGGTCCCATAGAGCCTGCAGGTCCTTGCTGACCCTAAAATAGAAGGTGATATGTACTTTAACTTTGCTAAAAAACAGAATGTACCCAAATATATGTAAAACATGCTGTGACTTTTATCTGTAGAAGATTGACCTTCCACCATCCTACCTTCTCTGTTATAATGCTGAAATGTGCTTTGGGCTTACAAAGAGAGTTTCAAGATGCTGTCATTTAAATGGGTCTGTTCTCACCAGCAGGTGAGGCCTGGATAACCCGCATTACCCACTGGTGGGAGCACAGCACATTAATCTCTCCCTCACCTCCCAACAGCTGGTGGTTCTTGGGACACTCCCGTGGAATCCCACATAGAGAACTCAAGCATCTCAGGGCTGCATAAGTTGGGCTTAGAAATTGAATCCCAAATCCTGTTCACTTTAAGAGCGTAGCTCAGGGACACAGATTTAGCTCACATTGTTTACTGTGACAGCTTTTAGGGATGCTATTGTGAATATGCTCTGAGAAAGAGTTTAAAATTCCTATCGTGAACCAAAAGGCACAGTTACTAGGTGTGTAATCAATGCAGCCAATGGGGGATTGCCATGGAAACATGTTAAAGTCTCCGAGAATATTTGTGGAGAAAATGAGCAGCATACCAGAGCACTTTGTTTAAATAAAAGTGGCTACAACTTCAAAATTATTCCCTAATTTATCTCAGTTATTTCTTACATACCTTTAGTCCTGGGCTTCCTACTGATCCGGGGGGACCAGGATCTCCAGGTTCACCCTAAACGTGTGGGTGGGAAGGCAAGTGAAACGGTTGCTTTAATTTTCACAGTCTCATTAGGTTGGAGATTCAGTTGAAGAATGTCAGGAGGTTACCTTCATTCCCTGTGATCCTATTATCCCAGGTTCTCCCTGTAAGTAAAACAATCACCATATGTGTAATGCTTAAATTCAGACGGCGAGGAGCATCTCTAATACTTGAATTCATTTGAACTTCCACTAATTAAAATACAATAAAGGGGGAAATTATGGAAGACACGAAGAAGTCAAGGAAAGTTCGTTGCAAAACATGATTTAAAACACTTATTGCTAATAAATAGCCATAATTTCTTGTTTTCTTTCTTCTTTATAACAGTGTTTTTCCCCAGTGTCACATTTGACACTGTAACCATCATGTTCCATTAGCAATTACTGGGTTCTCTGCTCAGCTGGCATTGTTAGGATTTGCCACCAGCTGATTTTATATCTCAGACAATTAAGACTTCAGGTGAGGGGAGGAAGAAAGTGTAGAGTTTAAGTTGATATGTCATGGTGATTCTACTATCAGGTATGGTGGTCCCCCTTATTCGAGGTTTTGCTTTCCGGGGTTTCAGTTACTCGCAGTCAACTGCAGTCTGAAAATACTCAATGGAAAATTCCAGAAATAAACAATTCCTAAGTTTTCAATTGTGCGAAATTCTGAGTAGCGTGATGAAATCTCGTGTCATCCCCCTCCATCCTCCCTCGTCCCTTTGTCGAGTGGATCCACACTGTAGACGCCACCCGCCTGTGAGTCACTTAGTAGGTGTCTCGGTTCTCAGATCGTCTGTCCTGGTATTGCAGTGCTTGTGTTCAAGTCACCCTCATTTTACTTAATAATGGTCCCAAAGCACAAGAGCAGTGATGCTGGCAGTTCAGGTATGCCAAAGAGAAGCTGTAAAGTGCTTCCTTTAGGTGAAAAGGTGCAAGTCCTCCACTTAATAAGGAAAGAAAAAAAATTGTATGCTGACGTTGCGAAGATCTATGGGAACGTTTATTACAGTATATTGTTATAATTGTTCTATTTTATTATGTTATTGCTGTTAATCTCTTACTATGCCTATTTTATAAGTTAAACTCTATCACAGGTATGTATGGGTAGGAAAAAACATAGTATATATAGGGGTCAGTACTGCCCACGGTATCAGGCATCCACTGGGGGTCTTGGAATGTATCCCCCACGGACAAGGCGGGACAACTGTATATGTATTTAATGAAAAAAAAAACCCAGAAAAAATTAAGATTATACAAAAGAGGACAATATTGGCTATAACGAGTTTGTTTTTCTTATATTCCATGACTTATTATCCTTTTGATAAAATCATCCTGTTTGATAAATCCAATTTGTATTATTAACAGAATTTTTGAAAAAACTGTAACTTGCATTTTAATTTTGTATTTTAGATATCCTAAGGGGATATTTTTCATAACATTCATGTCCAATCACCAACAGTAATGGGCTAAAGAAAAGATATACTACCCAAACCAAATGTTAAATATCGTCACATGATAAAACTTAACAAGGTTTAAAATTTATCATTTATCAGGGCCGGCCCAGTGGTGCAAGCAGTTAAGTGCACACGTTCCACTGTGGCGGCCCCGGGGTTCGCCGGTTCGGATCCTGGGTGTGCACCGACGCACTACTTGTTAAGCCATGCTGTGGCGGCGTCCCATATAAAGTGGAGGAAGATGGGCACGGATGTTAGCTCAGGGCCCGTCTTCCTCAGCAAAAAAAGAGGAATTGGCATGGATGTTAGCTCAGGGTTAATTTTCCTCACAAAAAAAAAAAAAAAATTTATCATTTATCAAAATAAAAGAGTCAAAATTCACAGAGGAAAAGTACAATGTTCAGGGAGCTTATTTTATCAAATCTATTAGACTCCAAAGTAAACATACCAGAAATCAGAGAGAAAGAAATTAATGAAATAGAGACCCCAGCAGAGTGATAAAACTTCTACTTACTCTATCTCCCTTTTCACCTTTGATGAAAGGTTCCCCCTAGGAAAATGGGTAGAAACAGAATCAATTGTAAACACTTTTGGAAATAAACTCTCCAAGCTGGATGGGGATGTATCCTGCAGGCCAACCTCAGACCTCCATCGCAAACAAGCCTCTAAAACGATCCAGAATGTTACACGGTCCGCCTGTGCAGCTTGAAGGGAGCGTATGCGAGTTCACTTCAAAACCCTTGCACATTCCCAAGTGAACAATAAACTCATCATTCTAACCCTGTCTCGAGAATCCTGAGTGGGTGACAACTTGGAATGCGGCCCAAGGCCAAAGCTCCCGTTTTCGAGGTTCACGCAGATGACCACACACAGGCATTAGGGGCAGAACGGATGTGAGGATGACGGAGCGACAAGTGAAGGACGTTCATTCGAATCCTCCCAGCTAGCTAAGCTGGTGTTTAAAAACACAGTATCTTTCTTTTGGAAATACTTTACTAAATTCACCTTTATTTTAATGAAAATGATGAAGGGGTTAATTATTGGGTGAAAGCGCAAGTCTGTGAAAATGATAATGTTCTTGTTGGGTTGAGGTATGACGGTCCTGGGGGGAGATAGGAGATACAAGCTTTGAGGGGAAGGCTCTCATTAAGTAACATTCCCCCCACCGTCACTGTGTAACTGACACCACAACTCAGCCTTCACACACAACACACACACACACAACACACACACACACACACAGGCTCTCTCTTATTAGCTTCTGTTCTTGAAGTTGCTTGTACACGATCTCAATTAATCTTCACAACAATTCTGTGAGGAAGATATGTCCTATTTCAAGCATGAGGAAAGAGACTCAGATTCTGAGTAACTTTATTTCCCCTAAAATAGCGTCCACCCGCCTTACGCTTCCTTGTTTATCTTGGCTATAAACTCTGCGAATGTAGGGATATAATCCATCTTGACTATCACAGCATCTCTGGTGTACATTGTTGGTGCCCAATAAAAGTTTACTAAATTAGAGAATTTAAAGTCATACAGATATAACAATAATAGCTAACACACTGAATTCTTACAATGTATCAAGCACTATTCTAACCACTTTATACATATTAACATAGTTACTCCTCATGTGTCAATGGAGCTAGTACTATTAGTATACCCACTTACAGCTGAGGAAACGGAGGCACAGAGAAGTTAAGTAATTTCCCCAAGGTCACATAGCCAGTAAGAGGTTGTTCAAGATTTAAACCCAGGTAAACCTAACTTTAATCCTAGGCTTTGCTTGCTTAGTCTGTTTGATTTGATTTGTAATTTGATTTATTTATTATTTGAATTGAGTGTATTAGCATTAAGATGGAAACCATAAGTTAAAAAAAATGTTCTTTTGCTTACTTAAGTCAAGAGAAAGTGTGAGAGCCATTATGGTGGACCCGCCGAGGGGCTGCTGTTCTCGTGAACGATCACTAACGGGGGATGAGTGGTTCCCACAGGAACCTCTGTGCTCTTCACCGCACCTCCCATGTGCCCGGGACTCGGGCTCGCCTTCTCGCCCACATTGATTTCCCAGCCGCCTCGCAGTTACACGGGCCGCGTAGCCAGTTCTGCAGTGGAAGTAAGCAGAAGTGATGCGGGTAGACGCAGGCTGAGGCTGTGAGAAGCCGCTTGTGGTTCTGCAGCCCCACTTTCTCTGCAGGGGCGACTGAGAAGGTAGTGTACTCCACATGGCACAGCTACCCGGTGGGAACTGAGGGTAGTGTGGACACAACACCCCCTCCTCCTACAGAACCCTGCTGGGCTTGCAGCATGAGCAAGAGAGACCCTCCTTTGGGTTAATCTCAGGGTTCTTGTTACTCATTATCACCTAGCCTACTCCGAGCAATGGGCCCCATAGCTCACCCACATGATTAAATTCTATTATTGGTTAAGTTCTAGGCATTAGATCAGGGCTTTATTTATATTCTTGCTTTTCAGTCTTATTTCTAAAAAATCTATTTGATTTTTAAGACATTACAAAAACCAAGCAAGGAAAATAACTTCAGAAAGTATACTAAGAGTAGCTGTTTGAGCAGATAGATAACTGTTTCTAATTTTTTGGATAAATTAGCCCCACTCTTTTGATGTATTGATTTTATTATTCATTTTAGCTATAATGTTTAGTTACAGCAGGGCAATTTAGTGATTTTTTAAACCCTAGAGTCAGCCTACCTAGGTCTGATTCATGGCTCCAATACTTACTTGCTGTGTGAGCTCAGGCAAGTTACTTAACTTCTCGGCACCTCAGTTTCCTCATTTGGAGAATGGGTTGAAAATAGCCTACCTCATATATATATATATTTTTTAATGGATGAAGTGAGTTAATACTTGGAAAGGACTTAGGGTCTCACATAGAGCACTTGCTCAAATATCTGTCTACTGTTGTCTGCCACGGCAGGGGCAGCAAAGGTGCGTGGAATTGGGCTGATAGGAAAAACATTTTTAATTCTATTTTTTGGATATTCTTCCTCTGCCCTCAAAGATAAAATACTTACAGATTCTCCCTTTTGACCTTTAGGGCCAATGGACCCCGGAAATCCTGGTGGTCCAGTTTCACCCTTTCGAGAAAAAGCAGAAGAGAGATTTTGCATGAGGTGGGATGGGTGCTGTTGTGACCGTCAGACTCAGAGAGATTGCTTGTGCGTCTTGTAACCATAGAACTTATCTACTACATCCAAGAGACAATGGGCAGTTCTGAATCCAATTAGGCTATTTGCATAATAACGTGTTAATGTGTTTGTCAGCACTTCACAATGCCTTTAGGTCTTTTAGAAATCCATAATATTTATTATGATATTTAAAATTAATGTGAAACAAAAGTTAATTATTTTTCAAGGAAAAAACGTCTAGAGGAGAAAAAATTATAATTTTTCTCTGCCATACCAACACAACAGAAAAAGGATTTTTGTGATCTTAAAGACGTCAGGTTAACTGACACAATAATCCAGACTCATTTTATTTCAGACACTTCTTTCTTTTTTCAGGTTGGGGTAAGGGGAGGGGTGGGGAGCCATATGAAGAGCTGGCTGAGTCTCTCAGCTGTTTCCAGCATTTATATTGCTGCTTAAATGGCTGGCTGTGGGCAGAAGGCATTCTTGTCCATGTGGTGACAGGAGCAGCTTAGAAACGCCTAACATGTTCTGGTCAAAAGTCTTGAACAGAATTTGTATGTGACATATAAAGAGTATTTTGAGAAAATGCAACTTTAGAAATAATACTTGTAGAAAGGAAATATATCATTAATCATACTTCAGAGGAGTCCCAGCGTTGTGCTTCTTTTGTTTCATTTACCAAGATCCCTGAACACTACACAATAGTTAAATTAAGTGTAGTCACTAGAAGTTGTGTAATGTTGGTTTTTTTCCCCAACCTCAAGAGCATTTTTGCAAAACAATGTTAACCATTGCATTTCTGGGCATACACTTTTCTTGCCTATCATGTTTATTTTTTATTTCAAAAAAAAAAAAAACCGTAAAGTCGAGTGTGTCAAACCTCCAGGCATCGGAAATAAAAGGAATAAAAAAATTTGCACATCAAAGAAGAAATTTCCTCTATTTCCCTCTCTATTCCTGCCCCAGAGGGGGCCTCTTTCATGAATTTAGTACTTATCTTTTCAGTCTATATTTTTGGACTTTTACTGTATATGTAGAATCAACAATATATTATTTTGGATATTTAAAACAAATTCCATAAATAGCTTTATCTTGTACATAACATTCTGTGACTTTTTTTCACTCACTGTTGTTTTTAATATCCATCTCTATTGATACATATAGATCTAGATCATTCAATGTAACCACTGGAGAGCAGTCTATAATGTGAATGTACCAGGGTTTGTCCAAGCCTCAGTGATGGGCATCTGGGTTGTCTCCAGCTCTTCTCTATTATAAACAAGGCCGCAACGAACATCTCTATGCCTGTCCCCTTGTGTGGATGTTTATCTGCTTATTTTGAAGCCTCAAACAATAGTCTACCCACAGTACTTCAAGTACAAATTATAATCCTAAAAATGTTGGCTCATTTCTACATTTCTATCCTGATCAATATCTTGTGATTTTAGACTAGAGGAAGAGGAAGCTTGTCATAAGTAATGGAGAGACAAGATCATGTTTTTATTAAGAAGTCTTCTAGACTTGTGGAATATATTTTATAATTTTTTTTTTTTTTGCTGAGGAAGATTGGACCTGGGCTAACATCTCTGCCCATCTTCCTCTACTTTATAGGTGAGACACCTGCCACAGCATGGCTTGATAAGCAGTGTGTAGGTCTGCGCCCGGGATCTGAACCGGTGAACCCCAGGCCACTGAAGTGCATCAACTTGACTACTATGCCACTGGGCCAGCCCCTATATTTTGTACATTTAATCTTGATTTTATTAATGTTTTTCATTCTAGAGTCTAAACATCTTGTGTACCATCAGTCATATACTTACACTGTAGGAGAAGCCATTTGTTTTCTACAGACAATAAATTCTATTTAAGGAAGAAGGGGGAGAAATTGGTGGATACATTTAAGGGACCTATTGCTGTTGGTTTGAAAGAGGAAATAGACAACTGGCCGTGCACTGGCATTAGGGAACACAGAGTGACCTTGCTGTTACCCCTCTGGCAGGTGCTAAATCCCCAGTGCATAGGTGTGAAGGAAAACCATGCCTAGTCATTAGACTCACCCGCACAGAATACAAGTAGAAATCAGGGAAGGGGTCTAGAAATTTCTATAAAAACCACATCTCCCCAGTAACAAAGGGGAAGGGGTGGAAATGGACCTGGAGGAAGAGGAATTACATTCGTGGTTGCTGTATATTTGCACTGACGTAAACAGGTCTCCAGTGAAATGTCGAGGAAGGACCCAGCAGAGGCTTTGGTCCATCTCTCCGAGTGGTCCTTGTGTGTGGTTGGGCTTGGAGGAAATCTTAGGAACTGATTTCCTCACATAATATTCTGTAAACAAAAGTATTTCATACCTGAATCTTAGACACAAGTGAAGTTGTTGTTCATATTTAAAATGGATGTTCAGAGATCAATCACTGTGGATGTGTGTTGAAAGACAAGTGATGAATTTACTTAGCATCAGGAAATGTTGTCCTCTCATTTGACACTTTCAATGCCATTTGAAAGGCCTAGTGCTGTTGAGGCTCCATCTTTTCCCTCTGACAGTCAGCCCCAAAAGACACACGCTAATTTCTCAGGAGGCCTTAGATGTCCTGCCACCTTATTCCACTGTCTCCGTAAAGGAGTAGTTCCCCTCAACCAACTTGCGAGTATGTTATTCCTTCACCACATCCTGTTAGTCTCAGGCAAGCTACAGAGCAGAGAGCATCATTTCAGCACAGGCAGATGGCGCACGTGGTGCTGTGGTCTCTGCTGCCATTCACCGCATAGTCAGGCGTGTTCCTTGGCGTTTCTGCCTGTCTCTTAGTGCTCTTGATACAGGACGTGGCTGCTAAACCAGGAATGGTGTCTGTGTAGATTCTACTGCTGTTTGTGTTTGTTCCGGAGCTTCACTGTTGGGTTCCAAATGGCAGGCTGGTTTAGTGATTCTGTTTCACCAGTCAGTGCATTGAGAAGCGTGTAATATGCAGCAATGATAAGTCATTTAAATGTTGAAATTGTACTTCTGGGTAAATCTTTTATTCTACAGCATAAATCGAGTCCCTTCTCTGTTATAATTATGGTCGGAGATGCAAAGTTGAGCAACACCAGGTGTTAAGGATGGTAACTAACTATTAATACTAAAAAGAGATAAATGAGACCTCATGAGAAGAGAGGAAGTTTGGAGTGGCTGAAGAGAAGAGAACAAATCTTTAGTGAGGGTTTAATGTGTGTGAGGTATTGTGCTTTTGGGTAAGTTTATCTCATCTCATTTGACTTTAATGCTACCATCAACTGTGTAGATAACGATTGTGCCCATTTTATAAACGAGGACACTGATGCTCAGAGAAATGAAGTGGCTTTCCCAAGGAGACTGAGCTGTTCATGGCACAATCAACGTAAAGGCACAATCAACTGTTGACCCCAAAGCCCATCCTCTTTCCACCACTCAATGGTTCTCAACCTTGGCTGCCTGTTAGAATCATCTGAAGCACTTTTAAATAATAGTGATATGGACCCCACTCCAGACCAATCAGAGATACGGGCTCTGCTCCAAATCACAGTGTCTGGGGATGAAGACTGAACATGGTGTTTTCTAAAAGCTTTCTAGGTGACTCCAGTGTGCAGCCAGGGTTCAGAACCACCCGGATCCACCACAGGCGCAAGCAAAGGTCTGAGGGAGCAGCTTGAAGGAGCTTTAAATTCCCACTATGGTGACCCATGAATTTAAAAAACAAATGTACTGATTCAGAACTGATACTAAGTGGATGGGGATAGGCAGAGGTGATGTCACTCTTCCAGCAAGTGCTACACTTATGTTTTTTAGTTTATTTTGTGCATTATTTATAGGCAGAGTCTTTCTCCTGTTAATTACAATTCTTACAAATCATCTCATATGTACATTTATAGCAGGTACTGCATCAAGTTCCCTGTGACTCTTCTAGACTATTTCTTTGGGTGGGTGGAGGGAACAGTCATGCCACTGGCTATTTCTAATTCCACTTAAGATTCTGAAGCAATTAGAAAAGATTATAGGCAATAGAAAAGGTCCTTAGAGTTTAAAATACACCTGTTTTACAGAATCAAATTTCTCATCATTGAGGTCTTAAGAATTCCTAAGTAACACATGTTTCCTAATGAACATAGCAAGACAGAAACCAGCTGTTTTGTTTTGAGAAATGAATCACCACTTAAATACTCTAAAAGTGTCACAACTCTCTTCTTTGCTCAGCTGTCCTATGTGACAAGCTTTGTGGCTTTCTTTTTCCCCCTTAGTCTGCATGTGTCCAGCAGTAATTGCTTAAAATGTAATGAGTTTGTTGTGTGGTGTGGGAATTCTATAAGCTATTTGGTTACAGGAAATAATGCTAATGTACTAGGAGTATCATCTAAGACACATAACTGATGTATTATTGCTGTATAATCAAAATTTTTTGATGTATTTCTAAGAATGTCAAGGTACTTATTTTTTTTTTTTGCAGAAAATTTCATTTTCAGTGGTCAATCTATAAGAAGCTCCTGCTTTCTGTTGAGACTCTCTTAGCAATATTTTCTGGCGAGGGATGTATGATCTTTTGAATAGATTGGTTGCACTGATTTATAAGGCACAGAAGTCATATTTTCTTGGATTCGTGTTGAAATACGCTGCCCTCGATCAAGAGAATTTTTACTGGGTGAATGAATGAAGGCAGCACGCACAGGCCACATTCCCTCAGAGTATTTTCAGACCTACTCATCTTTGTCTGCAGGTTTGATGTGCATGGCTTCTTCCTGACAATGGCACATTCACACTGAATCCAAGATCATCACAATTTCAGAATGAAACCAGAGCGAAACACCTTAGTGAGTGGGCAAGTGACTCTGTCAGCTTCACAGCTAAGATAATTAGTGAATGATGACAATGAGAGCGCAATGGAAATTCATCAGCGTTTCAATTTTAAAACTGTTCTGAAATAATGATTTGGTTAAACCATGACTGTACATTATAAAACCCTACCAAAAAAGTGCTCCCGTGACAGCTTATGTTTGGGCACTTAAGAAGACACAAAAATAGTGAGTCTGAGCCTGAGGCATTTTGCTAAAGGGGTCTTCAGTTTGCTTGTGTCCCTTCCTTGTAGCCAACGGCTACTCAGCAGTCTTCCCTGAGAGGCAGATTACAGTCCTGCTGTGTGGGCAGGAGGCAGTGGAGGCTGTGCCCGCTGCATGCTGCTGGCCTCCCCAGCGAATGAGCCCTACGTGGCGGCATGACTGCCCCTGACATGTGGATACGAGAGTTCGTGTAAAACCCTGGACGCTTTTCTTCACTTTGAAAATCTGATTACCTTCTCTCCTTTTGGGCCACCAGCTCCATGTTCACCAAAGTTTCCCTAGGTAAACATAAAATAAAAAAAATATCATTTATTTTTAATACATTCAATTCAGTCCCTACTTTAGAAATATAGTCAGATAATAGTACTGTGACAGCTTTTTATGGAAACCATTTTAATCGCTTTTGCCTCTCTCACCTTCTGTTAAATATTGCTGAAAAACTCCAACTTTGGAGACCCTATCCATCTTCCCTATGACTTCCCCCACCAGAGATGATTCTGGAGAAATATCGCACCTCCAGGGGCAAACTGTTACCACTCCTAATGAATGCCTGGCAACCTCCCTTGGCCCCAAACCACTCCACTGATGGGACTTTCTAATGTGATTAACCATATCTTTGTGCTCAGTATAATGGACATCCCATTAAGTGACCACTGGGCTGCACTTCCACTTCCTTGACTGGACTGACACCTCACTCTCCTAGTTTCTCCCTCTCTTTCTGACCTCTCTGACCTCTCCTCCTCCCTCGCCCAGCTGGTAAAGGTTGGACTTCCTCAGACTCTGTCCAGGCTCTCTTTTCTTGCGACTCATCATTTGTTCCCAAGCTCTCTTACCTACTCCCATGGCTTAGGCATCGCCCACACAAAGACACATTTCTAAACCCACCATACCTCTCCGTTCTGAGTTTTGACCCATATATCTAATATTTTACTTGATGTATTCACTTGTAAATTCTAGAAGTTCATATTCAACAAGTTCAAAACTGAATTAAAAATACAACAAATACACACATATATGAGAAAGATGAGAGAATTCTATCACTTATATCACTGTTAACGTTTGTTAGTCCAGAAGTGGAAGAATGACAATTAACTTCTTCCTAATGTATCTCTGCAGTTTGGCTTATTAAAACGAGTGGTCATGTCATTTTACAACTGAAAAAAATCAAAGAAAGAAAGAAAATCAAACTCATCCTCTCCCTTCCACAGAACTCTTCCTTCCTCACCTGGGTGTCGTTGTTAACACTGCCCTCCTCCTTAGTCCTCCAGTACAGTCAGCTGTCGAGTCTGGTTGCCCCTGTCCACAAAGTCACTTCTCCTTACCCTGCCCACCTTCACTCCCGCAGGCCACCATCCTGTCGTGCCAAGATCATTGCAGTAGCTTCCTAACTGGCCTCTATAATCCACTCTTGCTCCCCACCCAACACACATTCTCTACATAAGGTCAGAGACACATCTTTAAAAGACACTCTGACCTCTCTCCTTCTAATCCTTAACAAAGCCATCGAGATCCCACGTGACCTGAGCTCACTGCCCTCTCCGGCCTCACCCTGGCCACTCTTCTCCCTCAGAAGTTCCAGCTCTAATGGACTCTCAGCATCTCGAATGGACCCAGATCCCTCCCACTTCACCGCCTAGATCACCACCCTGTCCTCACCTCCTGTCTGGCTAGCAACTGCTCATCCCTCAGGTCTCAACTACTATAAAGTGCCATTCCCGCAAGCCTCTTGTGGGTCTCCAGACAGGTTCCCCTCCAAACCTTCTCACTGGACATTGTGTTTTTCCTTCATAACAACAACCAGCGTTTTTATTTTTGTGTTTGTTTAAAAAATTTCACACCTCTCACACTAGAAAGTAAGTTCCATGATGACCTGGAACCAAATGCCCACCCACACCTAGCACAATACCTCACATATAGGAAGCATTCAATAAATATTTGTTGAATAAATAAGCCAATAATTCTAATTTATGTGTTTTTCCCAATAAAGTTTTTTTTGATTAAAAATACATGTGTTGTTATAAAAAATTAAAAGTACGGAAACGTATAAACAACCAAATTACAGAGGTACCCATTCACATCACTGTTGCTATGGTTTAACATTTTGACTGTGCCTTCCATGTTACTCATGCTCCTCCAACGAAAAATAAGTAGTTTATAATGCTGTTATTATTGGTTTTGTGCCAGATATTCTCTCATTTTTCCTACTTACCTTTGATCAGAGATGTCTAAATTGAAAATAAAAATTGTATTCTCAAAATCCTGAGCTATACATTCTTGCAAGGACATCTTTGAAAATGAGGCATGAAACTCTAAGACACATACACAAGGACTCGGCAGTTACAAAATGGTAGGTTACTTGGATGCAGCCTGCACAAAAACAGATAAATTTTAGGCATTTCCTGAAAATACTATCCATTTGGGCATGGTGCCAACCTGTGTTCACAACACATCAGCATCTCTCCTTGGCTGTGCTTACGCTAGGACATTTCTGAGGAAGCTGGAACATGCTTTGGTCTGAGCTATGAGTTGTCCAGAGATGATCTGTTGATTGGAAGGCCCCAAGTTCTTGGCTTGCAGAGCAGAGGAGCACCCAAAGTGCATCCACGGAGAGCATGTCACACTGTAGCACCTTGGCTACATCCCCTCCCCATCTCACCCCGAACAACCCACAGGGTGTCAGAGATGCTGTGGTTGGGACCAAGGAACGCCACTGGAGCACCAACTCATGTTAGTCTGTCCATAGGCTCTGTTGTTCTAAAGTCTTGCTTTTCTAGAGGCTTTCATACCCAGAAAAACAATAGGGCCATTCACTGCCTGGCAGAGCTCCATATGTTTGCTTCAGTCAATAGCTAGGCCAGGAAATCCATCTACTCAAGGACTCTCAGTGGTCTCTGGAGGTGCTCTCCACTCTTAGGCTATCAATACTCAAGGCAGATGTGAACCTGAACTTCAGTAGCATTTATTCATTGATATGTGAGATTCTCTTCTCTGTTTTCTCCAAACTCATTGCACCAGAAATTACTTGGCTCTACAGAAATAATAAGACATAGCCCTTGTGTTTCTGGAACCTGGATTTCTGCCTCAGATGCTATTTTAATTTTACTAGGTCATTTTGTACCTTGGTGCCTTGTTATTTGAATGGGTTCTTATAAACTTTCTGAATAAATATAACAGTGGTACAGTTTTGAATGTGTTTTTTAGAGGTTCCTGTGGTAGAGTGGTGAGGGCTGTGGTGCGGGGGTGCTAATCAGCCTGCCCATTTCAAGATTCTGGGATGTCAGACACGTCCTCTATTCCCTCGTGGGAATGGTGAATGGAGCTCAACCTACAGTGAGGCGGGGGGAAAACTCCAGCTGCCCTCACTGCCCTGGAGCCCGTATTCTCTGGAAAGAAGGGAATGTACCTGGACATGTATAGGCTGAACCAGAGCAATTTTCTGTGGCTCAATCTAATAAAAGAGACCAAGGACATGAACCCCCTCCCGGGACATGGGGTCATTAAAAATCCCCCAGCTTAGCCCTTGGGGAACTTGCTGTAAAATACTAAGCATGACAGGACATAAAGCTAAAAAATACCCCAGGTTATCTGTTATGGGTTGAATTGTGTCCCCCTCAATTCACATGTCGACATCCTAACCCCCAGTACTTCAGGGTGTGACTTATCTAGAAATAAGGTCTTTGCTGATGTCATTAGTTAAGAAGAGGCCATAATGGAGTAGGAGGATCTCTAATTCAGTACAACCATGTCCTTATAAAAAGGAAATTTGGACACAGAGACAGCAACACAGGGAGAGCGCCATGTGAAGATAGGGGTTCTGCTGCCACAGCTGGGGAACCTCCAGGAGCTGGGAGTGCGGCCGGGATGCATCCTCTCAGAGCCTCAGAGAGAGTGCGGTCCGCTGACACTTCATCTGGGACTCCTGGCCTTCAGAACCCTGAGATGACACGCTTCTGGTGTGTAAGCCACTCAGTTTGTGACACTTGTTACAGCAGCCCTAGCAAGTTAAAATACAATGCATGGCCTAAGTGGGCTGTGCTCTCTTGAAAATAAGACCTCAGGCTGGCTCTAAGGCCAACCTCTCAGGAAAACATCTCAGCAGCTCTAGGTGTGGTGGGCCACGGAGGGCGGGGGGCCCTGGAGAGTTGACGGTTCTCTGTAATAAAACCACCATCCAAAAATCCATGTCTGTGCCTAAATCCACGATGTTCTCCAAAGCCAGTGGCTCCTGGGGCCCAAGGAGTGAGAGATAGGATTAGCACTTGAATTTTATTTCTGAATCTTCCGAGCCCAGGAGGGCAGCCTCTGGTGTCTCTGAGGAAGCCTCTGCTTCCTGTGCCATCTTTGGGTCAACTCGCTGCTGGAATATTTGATTTTGGAGGAAGATTTTCTGTCCTTTCTAGTCTGTGGATATTAAAATGAAGTTATGATTTGATAACTTGAAAGGAAAAATAGATTATTTTGCTAGCAAATTGGTTTTTTTTGATTAACAATTGGAGAAGGAAACACTGGAATTGGCTGCTGGGAGGTGGAACATCGGTCTCCAACAGCGGAGACTGATTCACCGGGACGCCCCGGGTGTTGTGATGGAAGATAACACAACCAGGCATTCTCAACGTGGATCTTTAAAAACAGCATCAGACGTGAAATCCGCCAGCACTGGGCCTCCACAGATAACACTTGTTTCCCATCTAGAGTGTTGTAAGGGGCTCTGGATCTGATGGCTTTAGCAGTTGACAGAGCCGATCAAGTTTTTATGAAAATCCCCTGAGCTGGAAACAACGCAGAGCAGTTTGCTGGATCCTGAGCAGATTTTCCTTAAGGGGAAGACTAGGCTCAGCACTATTGCCTCTTTGCAAACGATCTTGCAGAATGGGAGCAGCTGTTTTGCAATTATTTTTGTGATGGAGAGGGAAATCTTCTACCTTTTATTCTTTGCATCCTCGAGTGGATGTGCAAAAGTAGCTGTGAGCACACTCCTGTAGTCTTCTGGACCTCACTCCTTCGTCTCTCGTCCCTCACCTCCTGTCCTTCTTCCCCATTCCCGTTTTGATGCATGCAGTGAGGGGAGAGGGCTGCTTATGTCTGAGTTTCTCCCTCCAATGACATGAGGAAAATTATAGGGAAAAAATCAACTCTTGTGCAGGGTCCAGATTCCTTTGCCTTTGAGGATTCCTGGGGCTCGGGAAGGAGCCCCGGGCTCTTAGTTTAGGATGAGAGGGCACGTATATGAGTAGTCTGCCACTCGTCCTCCAAGGGCGGCTGCTTCAGCAGAATCCAGGCTGCAG